AATGTATGCTAGACATCTTTTTATTTAACCTTTTACAGTTGTGCAACGATTGTAAAATCGAATTCAACTATCACCTAAGTAAGTATGAGAAATGCTGTTCAGGGGACGAGGAGGCCGATATTGGAGGAGAAAACCAAATTTGCAATGTCAGCCCATAGAAAGGAGCAACAAGGATCTAAAAATTCTAGGCTCTGACATCACCGCACATGGTCTGCGGAATATCTGGTTTTTAAAGACTCCAAATGTGGTTATCCATAAAAATCTCAATTTCCTTGATTTTTGCGCATTACATAGCGTTCTAATAATCTATGCATAATATTCAAGAAAGAACACTTCCGTACATTAAGTTTCTTCAAGATTCTCCAAAAAACTTACTCTTCTTTTACGTTTCAACTTTTTATAATAAGCCATCTGTATAATATGCATAAAACTAATTCAGATCGCGGTGGCAGAGATGCTAAGGCAGTAGTGCCGTAGCTCTGTATTAGCTGTGAAGTTCGAGGAAAACCAGACGGGGACTGATTAGATTAAGTGTTGATCAATACATTAGGTTAACTTACCGGGGATGAATCTTTTGGACCTCCATCGAGCAAAATGTCCATGACCGACGCGAAGGATCGCGGGTCGTCGGGAGTCCACGACCTGTAACAACGGGCTCATCGGCTAAAGTGGCCAATGAAGTTCAATTGTTAATTGTTTGCTCTCAGAGAACAATAATTACCACAGCGGTTTCATCAATCCGGTGCCGACCTGTGAATAGAAGGAGTCACCATCGCGCCGGCGAAACTATCCTGTGTCACTCCAGTTTACCGGCAACAGACTACCATGTGTCGATACCTGGCACTAGTTAGGAAAAATTATTAGTGTATTTGTGCCTAAAGTCTGCGGGCCCCTAATTACAACAAGGAAATTCTCAATGGAATGATATTTAGTTTAAAATAATTGCTCTAGTAGTCATGAAAATGCGAAATGGCTATTAATATAGAATTAAAGGGAAAAAGTCACTTGTAGCTTATTTAATAATACAGTATTTCAAGAATGTTACAGACTTAGATAAAAAAATAATTTATTCTCTCAAATTGAAAAATATAAAAATCTAATAAATTTGAAATATAAACAAATGCTTAAATTCTATTACTTGTAATTTAAGCTTCTGGATTCATATTGGGCACTGCTTTGATCTTCAAGAAATATATTAAAACTATAAAGACAAAGAAAAAGTAATTCCTCACTTTTTTGCTAAAAGTTAAGCAAGGTCATGAATCTGGCAGGCTCTGGTCACATCAGTTTCCGAATTCTTCAAATAGACTGATTGATTGAAAGCGAATATTTTCATGTTAAATTAGCAGTAAAAGAATAAACTCACCATTTTCCCCTCTATGCCAATTCTTCTTTTTCAGCAATACGAGCTCATACAACAAAAGTTCTAATACTGCTCGTTTGGCAACATACCCTACCAATCAACGTCCAGCCATTATCAAGGTTAAAATATCTGAATGCATTCTTTTGCACATGTCGCCAACTAGAATCTATCGAAGAATCATATACACATAGATACAATAAATCAGGAATCTTGGCAAAAGTTTAGCTTCAGTGAACAGGGGCAACTTGGCTTAAATACTTTGGTTTAAATGAATTCAATAATCCACAGGGACCCCGTCAGGAGTGTGAACAGGGATATAAAACCTGTCCAAATGAAAGAACGGCATCAGTAAGAGTAAAATAACAGTCTATTCATTTGCTATAAGTGAAAAATCAAAATTACGTCAGCAGAACAACATTCTCTATGAAAAGTAATATATTTTTTTCACTGATTTTGTTTTTTTTTCTGATAAATTGTAGATGTTGTCTTTGAAAATTTTGGCTAGCTTTTTTTTTTTTTTTTTTTTTTTTTTTTTTTTTTTTTTTTTTTTTTTGTGTAGTCAATGACAGTTTCTGCTGACAACATAAAGCTTAAGGATCTGTCCCTGCAGTTGTCGCAATGATGGTAGCAATGTACTAGTTTTTATGGTTATATGATGCATCTAAACTTTTTTATATATTTTTTTTTGGGAACTATATAATGCGAAAGAAAATGATCATTATTATTAACTTGGTATACATTATATATCAAATTTAAATTAAGTTTAGCCTATGCGTATTTGATGTGTTATATAAAGTTTCACTAGACCCCTTTGTGGTCCTGAAGAGAACGAAAATAGTGAAAAGATACAAAAAATTGGCATATTTTTTGAATTTTTCCCACTTATTAAACATTCAAAAATATTATCAAGTCTCTTTAAAACTAGTTAGTACATAAATTTTTAATTGTAATATAATGGATTAATATTAGTAAATAAATTTCTGAATATAACATAGAAATTAAATTTTTTCAATATAGAAACTATTCACAACAAGTTTCTTCAAAAAATCAACGTAAAATAGAAATATGAATGAAATTAGGAAACTGGCGAAAAATTACATGAGAACTTACATTTAGAATAGGAAACATTTATACATTAATGTCGTGGATCATTTAACAGTAATCACCAATAAAGAAAGAAAACGAAATGTGTGAATTTTTGATTCCACATTTTGACAAATCGAGATTTTGAGAAATCTTGTGTTTATCTTAGATAACCACAGTGTGCCTCTTTAATTTTCATGTGTTCATCTTTTTCTTATCAGAAAGTGATAATTTTTTTTAAATCATACAATATCATTAAAAACTTTGGTAAAGATTGTGACAGTAAAAATTAAAAACAAAAAATTAAATAAGGAAATTTGCTTTAGTGGTACCAACAACCTCATTTGGAGATCTGAAAAATTACTTAGGTTAGTTTGATTGAAATTTGCAATTCGCAAAGCAGGCAAACCCCATACTTTCAAAAGAGTTGAATTTTCAAATATATATTTTTCAATAATATATTTGTAAATGTTCAAAGTTTCTAAGCATTTATAACCGATCTCTAAAACATTCTTTTTGCACAGCAAAGTAAAGATCAAATCAGAATGTTTCTGGGCATATTATTTCATCAGAGCTGCTATCAGAGACTCAAACAATGATGAAGGTCATATCAATTATCAGGTGATATGGGGTTTGCTGGTCAAGTCAGTGGTCGCAAAATAAATACTTTTAAGCAAACAAACGCTCCATTAGTATCCTCCCCAAGCATCAGGAAAGTCAAGTTATTCGACGACTCTGTTGTTCTCATCTACTTGGAACGAAAGAACCTTTGTGGACTGCCCAGGCTATATGAGACACTATAGCGATGCGATTTATGATTTTCAAGCAAGCTTACAAACTAAGACTGTACAGAATCACAACATGGAAACGTTATTTTAACAAGTATATTCATCAGTACTGTGATTTCTGAACATAAGTAGCATTTGTGAAGAATCACAGATCATACTACTCAAATCACTGAAAAGCATCATAGATTTGTAAACAAGGGAGGCGGGACAGTTTACAAGGTCAATGGCAGGTGCCAGACTATAATGATTGATTTATCCTACACTAACTCAAAACCGACATTACATAAGATAGGCACATCCATGGGGACTGAATGACAATTGAGAATTCAGGCTTGGGTCATCACAGCCCAGCGGTTTTTGTAATCAAATGACCTTAAGAGTCTCGAATGACCAAAATACGATTTAATTTATTTATTTTTTAATAAGGTTTATTATATTCAGACGGAGAAATCCAGCTATTGTGAAGCAGTGGTGCATTTTGAGAACGCCCTCTCTAGTAGTTTTGTTCTAATAAGGAAAGATGGCTGTTTTCTTTAAATAGACAGTAACTTCTTGGTGAACATTAAAACGGTGGTGGCATAAAAAGGTTACAATCGAATTATCATTGAAACTACAATTGAAATTTTTACAATAACATGTTAAGCACTGACAAATGTCTCCTTAAGTAAATATTTTCTCCAGAAACGTACGAACTTCATTTTTCTAATCTATAAATTCTTCCAACACACGAAGGCTTAGAAACAAGAAATTCTTATCATTATAGAATTTACGAAAATAACTGTACTTGTTTAAGATAAACAGTATTAGATAACTAAAATTGTAATAAGACTTTCCATTAGAACACACAGGTTGGTTTTAAATGCTGTCTGTTTTACGTTTACAGAGTGGACACATAGCTTGGGTCCTTCATAGATGTATGGTTTCATTACACTTTGAAGAAAAATGTAATTTTATTTAAGATTTCCAAGTTTAATTTTCGTATACGCATTTTGACAGTAGTCCGTGTCACAGTTCGAGCTACTCGGCCAATCCTAGACTATTCACCTACTCTATATACTTGTTGAGCATTTTGGGGCCATTAACTACAGTTACAAGTAGATTAAAGGAAATTAGCTAAAAGAGAGCAGCACACGTTGTGTTACTTCTCAAGCAAATCATATTAATGATTGGCAATTACATATATTGGATTGGGGTTTCAAGGTGAATATATTAATCTAACACACTATTTTCCTGTTTTCAAAGTGATTTTATTTTGTGAAGTTTTTCAGCAACTGCGCTGGCAATCATTAGAACTAGCTTTTGCTTAATTTATTTATTGTGTGTTTTTTATTAGGATTATATTTGTGTCATTAAAAAGTTTTTATGGTTGTGTGAACTATGTCATTATATGTCATAAATTAATATTTTTTTGTGTTAATAATCTTCTTAACTTGTGTTATTTACAAGTGCATTTATTGATCTTTTTTTTTTTTTATAGACTATCTTTTTTATTTTTATACCTTGATAAAAGAAGAAAAAGACAACTTAAATTTTATTCTATTAATTAGTTTCTTTTTCTTCTGTTCTTTAATTAGTCTTCTAGGCAGATAATATCACATCATAAAATTCTAATTTTTTTTTTTTTCATTGTTTAATTATAAAAAATTTATAACACGGGGTGATAAATATAATGTTACTTAAATAATTATAAGAAGTCATTTTCCAGCTTTTATTCTTAAAAATGCAAGAATTTTAATTTTTCCTTCATTTTTTGACAGGTTATCCAAATAGCGATTGTAATAATAATTTTATATAAGTTATGAAATAAATTCTTAAGAACAATTAATACTATTAATGATAAAATAAAACATTTATGTGCTACTTTATCACAAGTCCATGGCTGACAGGGAAGTAAGGGGATTCTGTTTACCTGTTAGTGAGCTTCAAAAAATTTGTGATGTATTTGTCACTATTATGCGAAGTTGCAGACACTTAAGAAAGAAAAAAAAATGATTTCAATAGCGCACAAGTAACTAAGTTGAAGACAGAGCCCATTTTTATCTTGCCAATAGACAGTTCAGGATGGAGTTTTGGTGTCGATCTACTTCATTATAGTTTGTGTATTATGAACTAACTGTTTTGTGGATCCGATGCAAAACATGATCGCAACGACAATGATTCATGCTGCCCGGAGTAAGTGAAGCACATCGCTCTACCACGAACACCGCTCCAAGCTGTCGAGAGTATGGCAGAAATATTCAAACAAATGACTATAATCACATTTTACCTTTATCTTGCATATGCCAAGACCGTCGTAGAGATTACACTGCCAGTGGCAAGAAAGTGATTTAATGTCCTTCCCAACTTCTCCAGATTTCTGACAATAGATTCAGGCAACCTTGTAACCAATAATACAAATAGTCTAAATCATCTTTCTTATTGGAGATAAAAGCTGCTCACACTTTTTATGTTTTCTTATTAAATGTACTTAGCTAATGCAGAGTGCTTTCATCGCTACTCGATGTTTATACATCACATTGCATTGCACTTTCACACACTGCATACATCATGCATTGTCTACACTTCATTTCATAGCTCTACATAACAGCACATGCAGATGATGTCAGCAGCAACAGACACACACACACACACACACACACACACACACACACACACACACACACACACACACTTACTCTCTCACACACACTCGAGTGACCCTTTAGTAGCCTTCTTAAGTTTTCCATTACTTGCACTTCCTGAACTTTGTCTCTTGTGTCGGCGTGATCTTTTAAAACAAACTCACTTACTTTCATTTAGTTGGAAGGTGACATTCTGGCTTTCTTTTGTGATCAGCATCCTCACTAAATAAATAAACCGCTGCAGGCGCTCCTTCAGATACTGCAACCACAGGTAGCCTCCGACAAGGACTTCTTGCGCCTGTGGGGAATCCACACCATCCACACTGCAGCGTCCTTGCACCAAGCCCCACAACTTATGCACCATCACAACTAGCAGATTGAATTTATCTTCTGGTCGATTCAGATGAATCAGCACGCATCGCCTGCAGCATATGAGTTCAAGATAACTTAACATCAATGCCCCCACGGATTCTCAAACTCTAACACTAGTTAAAGGCTGCATACCTCATTAACAGTAGTTTAAATGAGTTCACTGGAAAGCATGCAAATACTATACAATTTACATAAGTAATATAAATATTACATAAAATATGTATTACATAATTTATAGAAATACATTTATTACTTTTTAAGACAAATATATACTCTTACATAATGACAAGATTTTTATTTCTAATTTTTTCTCAATCCTACATATGAACAAATGAGTCTGAACTAATACTCACAATTTTAACTTATTATTACTCATTATTCAGTCAACATTAAACACCTTAATTATACCATTAAAAATTTCAATTTTAGAAATGAATGCTGCCAGCAATATCAATTCATAGGAAACAAAAATTAGATGGAATAAAAATTGGAAATGTTTGGAGTCCCTTTCTTTTTTAAAATTCCGAGGTTTATTGGTAAGTTTTATACGAGGTGCTTCCAGAAAGTAAGTTCTGAATGTGTCGAGAGATGGAATGAGTAATCGGATAGGAATGTGTATTAGCAGGAATAGAGAGAATGCAGTGCAGTTTTAATCTTGCAATGGCAGCGATTACTGCCCACTGCTCTTACAAAATGGCAGTTCTGGTATTATCTCCCACCAACTGCAAGGTTTGTGCACTCATCCAATTTTTGCACTCTCTAAAGTCATCTAATGACTCTCCAGCAGAGATCCATCGTTAACTGTGCCACACGAATGGACACAATATTATGAGCAACAAAATGGTTCGACAATGGTGCAGACAATTCATTAAAGGTTGAACCAATATTTATGATGAAGACCATGCAGGTCAACTGTGCTAGGTGACACCAGAACTGATGGAAAATGTGGCAAACAATTTAACAAAAGGGTGCCTCACAATTTCTGAACTCTCTTGACAATTCCCCCCAGATGTCACTTCGCTGATGTGCAATATTGTCTCCCAGTGGCAGTCCAACCCCATACAGTCGACGTCACACAAAATGTATTGAATCAGTTTCGATGGGAAGTCTTCAACCATCCACCATACAGTTCTGTCCTCACACTCCAGTCTCGTGAAGCGTTTTCTGGCAGGAAAACGTTTCCACAACGACGCTGAGGTGTAGCCTAAAGTGATTTTGTGGCTCAGACTTGGCAGTGATTCCTTTGACATGGATATACACTTGATGGTGTATATCAATGCCAAAGTAGCCAATGAATCCATGTAAATATTCAAATAAAAATTTCTTACTTCGTGATATCTTTGTTTTCTTAATCAGTTGTCAGAACATACTTTCTGGATGCACCTTGTAAATGTTTAGAGGTTACCAATCAACCTAGAACATTCTAGGTTTCAAAATCAATAAATATCTGAAATGAAGTTTGAATCATGGCATGGGTTTTGCAATAATTTAGGTCTCAGCATCAGCAAAAGATTTCACCAGTACAAACTTACAGAATATAGAAATATTTGTTATCTCTGTAATATTAGAAGAATTATCATCATTATTATCATTATCATTATCATCTTTAGGGACGACATATTGATAACTCAAAACATCACCCTAAAATTACCAATAAAATGCTCTTAAGATGTTTTTAAAATGTTCTAAAAGCAAAGACAAAGATCGTAAACAATTTGATCCAAAACAGTTCAGATGAACAACTCAAAACTGATGGATATGTTACTGATGTAATTGAGGTTTCTTCCTTTCGTTTAAGTGAATTCAGCTAGCAAACTTTTCATTCCACCAGGAAACCTCTGTCTTTATTTATCACAAAATCGCCTGAACAACAATTGAGGTGTTAGGTGTCTCAGGAACCTCAGCTTACAAAGTACACTCAATGGCTGACATTACAATATATGAAAAAAGAAATTGAATACGCTACTCAGGAATTATGTGTTGAACATTTGTTGCATCTCGTAAACATTATTTGAAGCTAGTACCATTAAAATGATATTAAAATCAATTAAATCAGCAAAAAATGCGTTAACAATTGGAAAAAGGTAAAAGAGTCTTATTAGTCAAAATCAATGAAAATGAAAGAAAGAAAAAAAAACATATAAAAATGGAACTTTTACTTTTACCATAACACGTTCAACATCAAAATCTAATAATGATGTAAGCAATTCCCTGATTGAAGTGCAAAGGGCTTAACTACACCTTATAGAGAACTTCCATGTCATTTGGTGATATGCAAACCAAAAACTAAGATAATCTTGAAAAGATTAGATTACATAGGCTAGTTGTGCTTACCTGTCAAAGAAATGTACATATGAAAGTGCTCTCAAGTGTATTTATTATATTATTAATTATTATTTCTCCACTCATTTAATTCTTTATTTCAAAAATAAAAATATCACTTAACTCACTTCAGTACATAGTCACACATTTCTCCATCACTCCAACTTTGAGGAAGTTCCGTCAACTTCAGCCGGAAGCTTTTACCAAGAAAATCCTTTGCCTGCTGATGTGTATGGATGTTTTCATGATGAGGTATCTGCAGCATTGACCGCACACACCTATTGACACAACATACATTTCATTAAAACAGTAGAACTCCGGTAATCTGAATTAATTGGGGGTGTGGTCTGTTCAGATTCAGAAATGTTCGGATTATCCAAAAAATGTACCATTCACATACAAATATATATATAGGATTACAAGACGATGCATTGTAACGTGCGATGTGAGAAAATGGCAACGGAGCCTAGATATCACATCATCAATCCTTGAATCAAGATTCAATTCCTTATAGCAAAACATTATTACCAATTTTGCAAGTTTCTCCAAGTGAAAATTACTGCTACATAACACACAATGTGATGTATACTATAGTTACCAGAGCAATTAATGTTTAATTTTGATGTGTGTTTTGATAATTAGTGGTTCATTTCTACAGAAATTATAAATTCCTTTCTTCACACTACAAAATGGCATTTTATTTATTTTGTTTATTTTTCCTCCATCCCTAATTTGGTTCGGATTATCCAACATTTCAGATTCAATGGATTCAGATTACCGAGGTTCTACTGCACTGCCATTAATTGCTTGGGGCGCGCACACTATTCTTTTATCTGCTTTAAACATAACACAGGGTGGCTACTCATTTACTTGGACAAATTAACTCTCGATCTTCTAGTGGATTTTTTAAAGTCTTTTTCTGATAAGATTTTTAATTTCGCACTATTTCATAAAACATTAAAGCTCACCTGATACTAGTATTGGTTAGTTTTCTGATTTCACCAATGGAAAGCACACTTCAAACATTTTTTTCCTTAACTATTATACTCTCAAATAATAATTGAACACATTTTTTTTTTTTTTAATTAATAAGTTCTGCTAAGAAATACCTAGATTTATAAGCCTCTGAAAAATGTTTCTCAGTCTGTAATGATTCTTCTACAAGCTCCCTAATTTTCCCCACTTTTCCAGAATAAAATTCCATACATTTTTCAGAAAATGTTTTCCAAAAATGGGTACTCTGTACATGCTAAGGAAAGATGACACGTCTGTGTACCTAAGGAGCTTTTAATCATCATTATTATCTTCATCTGGTTTTACAACCAGTTTTTTGTTGGTTTAGTGTAGTATTCTTGATAGCTCTTAGTCTTCCTTCTGGTCTTCTTGTTGACATTTCTTTTGTAAGTGGTGCAGGGGGGCTGTTTTAATATGAAACTACATTCAATTTTAACACGATTCCAAATATCCATATTTTGTTTTTGATTTTTTAAATTGATAACTTTTTGGTGAAAAATACTTTTTACTCCTCTATTATATTTTGAGTATTGTGCTCTTCTGATTCTAACTATTCAGAATTTCTTATTTCATGCACCAGTGAGCCACTATCTGCTGCCATAAGGTTTAGACACATATTTTGTCATAAAAAACAATATGAAATGTTATGCTGGTTGAATTTGCTGACTAACATGTGGGGAAACAGTTGGACCACATGCGAGAGAATATACTGAGGAAAATGGAAAATGCGGTGCACCTATAAAAGTACTTTCAGTACCACATGACAAACCCAGAGCAACATGCAGGAAACATAGGCGAGGAATGTTGGGGTCTGACTCATGTAGTAGTAGTATTCTACAAAAGGAGACCTTTCTTAATCTTCCCTTATATTTTTGGAGATTTAGTTCTTTTGCATATTCCCACACTGCCAAATGTTAGAAAGTTACAAAATAATTAATTCTTATGCATTAGAACCTTGATTAACATTTTGCAATAGAGTGCAGCCTCAACAGATAATTAAATGTATGATTAAGAGAGGCAAGAAAATTTTTCATACAATACCACTTACTTTTTTCATAACATTCAAGTTTTAAAAATCAACATACTAAAATACAACTATAAACGGTATTCTTTGAAGCTTTAAAAGGTGAATAGCATCTGCTTGAGTCTGCTACTCAATTCCATTAAAGTTGGTTTCTACTTCAAAACATTAAGCAGGGAATTTGGGTTTTAAGGAGAGAGCTTGCTAAGGCAGTATTTCAAAGAATCTATTGAAGATCTTTCTTACCCTTTCAAATACTGGTTGTCCTCTTGACCAGCCATCAATTTTTGGAAGATATACATATCAGACACATCCACTAAAGCCTTCATGATCAAGACCAGTGGTAGAAAATACTGACTTCGCTTCAACATCAACATGAATCGAGCAGATCCATCCGTTACATAATGAAGAACATTGTTCTAGGGGGAAAAAAATTACTGATGATAAATAGAGAGAAGATAAATCATGACTTTTTTCATTAATAAAAAATATTTAAATTTTTTATTTACACAAAATCATTTTTTATTCATATAACTAATAAATACATAATTGTTTAATACATAGAGTATTAAATTAATCAGGAACACATGTGTTGAGACACGTAATGTGTTAGCATTGGCACTGACCGGTTTAAGAAATAAATTTCATTAACAGTTCTTAATTATCTCATTATTTTCAGTACCTAAGTCATATTATAGTTCCCAGAAATTTCTTAGTAGGAAGACAGTAACCAAGTAGGCCATCTGCTTACTTTAGAGAAGCTGCAATTCCAACCTACAGATACATTGAGAACCACCGTGAATTCAGGGCTTCTGTCTGGTGAACAACCAATGACAGTGACACTGAATGTGTCAGTGATACTGAATTGTTTTGTATTGTATTATCATTACTCTCACTTATTATGTCGCACAATACAAAGTACACACCGAGATCCAAGCATTACCAGTGATACAGCTGCTGGTACATGTACAAAAAAACAATATCTTACAACAATAGCTGCATATGACTTCATATAGTCAGTGTACAAGTAAAACTCATTAAGTCTAAAAACAGTGTTTCAATAATTTCAATTATTTCTACACCTCATTTACTAGTTGACTGTCCTTTCACGAAAGATTTCAGAAGAAACTTCAAATTTGATGCAGGTATCCATTCTATATTAAATTCTACTCCGCGGTGTCACAAAGTTATTAAATTTCTGCATGTTGTAAAATTAGATAAATATATATAGTATTCCTTTCATTCTTACAAAATTTCAATGCTTGTAATAATAACTGTATTTAATATTGAATGTTTTAAATTGATAATAGAAAGGTAATCAAAAACGTACATTTTCTTATAATGTAAAATTGTAAATCAGATTGTGATCACTTATGACAACGTAGTTGCTCAGCAATCTAAAATAAAATTAAATAAAGTGTTTCAATCAGTCAAGTAGAAGTTGACATCTTTTGCTAGTTAGGAGATAAAACTGATTTTTTTCTTGTATACACACTCTCAGAGTAAGAATGCTCTCAAGACACAAAACCAACAAGCTCAAAAGATGGACTTGACAATTTTGTGATTTATTTAAAGAAACAAAATAAACAATAATTTACTTCACCCAAACTCCAGGACTTATGCAAGTTCACTGATCAAAATTATAGGAAAAATGCAACTTACTGAGGTAAGAAAACTAAAAAATATCAATGGCCTTTGCGAGTTTCATTAGCTTTTAGAATGCAAGAATAGATGTAAAAGATAGGGAGGAATTCATAGTTTACATGTTGCAGATGAAGCAGATTAAACCAACTGAATGTTACTAGGTGCAGGAAAGTTTCCTACGCCTTTACAGCCTTTTAATGAAAGTTGTCATGTCAAAACAATTAACATAATATCGAGCAGAGAATTTCTTATAATGAAAACATAATTACTTCAAGATAACTTACTCTGCAAGTTTCATCATCTTGAGCACAGCGAATGAGAACACCAAATTCTGAAAACAATTTTCCACGAGATTGCCAAGAAGGTCTTTTCAGAGAAAGGGGATAATTTCGTCTAGTCACCATAAGCATACGTATCATTCTCTCGTGACCTTGAATAATAAAATATCCTCCCCAATCATCATCGTGCTCCTCTTTCTCAATAAGATCTTTAGGGGAGAGATTAGAGAGGTGGCATTTAGAACTCTGTAAAAATGAAATAAAATACATAGAATACCAAAGAAAATAAATATTAATTAATTACCCCATTTCTTTATAAACAACAGCATTAACCACTCATAAAATAATGTACAACACACAATAGGAAACAAGAACAGCAAGAATTTCACCACCAAGAATGGAAGCTAGTAATTATCATTTGAAATACTAATAAGTAAAGAAATGTGCAATAACCAAAATAATAAATAAATGACATCCAGTACAAACAGAGCTTACAAAGAATGGAACAGATAATACTGTAACCCACTCACCACAGTTGTTACTCTAAAAGAAAATTATTTCCAGTGAACTGTACAAAATATTCTAACAAAGCTACAACCACTTTACATCACACATTATCTAGTATAACAAGATCAAAATATGTTTTAAGCAGTAATGATGAATCCATGAAGATCACACAAGTAAGCAAAAGATTTTTATACAAATATTATTTTGCATACTTCCTTATATTGAATGTTAATTGGAAATGAAATTACCAATAATTAAAATGGTAGATTTTATCTGATTTATTCTAATACAAATTTAAAAAATACAAACAATTTTGGAGTTAAATTAAGACTAAATGTAACATTTCCATTAACCAAAATGGTTTTAACTTCATTGGTGACTTTTTTATAGTATCTTCAAACATTATGAGGCATTAACTGTAGTGACCTAAAAATATTGACCAGTTTCATAATCACATTATTCACAAAGAATTATGCTTCGTTCAGCCAATTCTAACAGGTTCTAAAACAGTCTACCATTTTCAAAGACTAACGCTCTGCAAAAATTATTCTTCCATCACCCAGATGAGCCGAGCACAAACTGTTAATTGAGGTGTCGGTTCAGTACAAGCAATTTGAAATAAGAATTCATTTTCACAACTGACTTACACTGTTACAACGCACTGTCACTCAACAATATATTGTAAGAAATGATACAATTCATGTCGAAAAGCAGATGAGAATATGTATGAAAGTAACTTCAAGTAATCAAAAGCATACAATCAGTAAGGTCATAACCACCAGATTTCAAAGAGTCAACATCGTTTAATTTAATCACATTTTTAATTCAACACATAATAGAATAAATTTCAATCAAAGAATTACGCAAGTAAATACAGTTTTGAAAGGTACTTTTCTTAGGTCCTTGATACATACTTTGGTTTTATTTGAGCATTGTGTAGTTGGCTGAATAACAAAAATAATAGAGCATTACAGCCCCTGCACAAATTAACTAACATTTATAAAAATAATGCAAATAATTTTTTTGTCTTGCTAACCATGCCCCCAATTTATTTTGGCATCAATGAGTGTCAAAATTACAAGACTATAGTTTGATTTAAATAGATTTCATTGAAGTTTAATCAACTGTTACAGTGTCTTCCAATCGGGAGCTCAAATGTCTCTACTGTAGTGCCATTTAAGCTCCCAATTGGATGACATTGTTTAAATAGCAGTATAAACATAGTACAACAATGACCGAAATACCACACAAAATCACAGGTGTGTGTGTGTGGGGGGGGTTCCTCCTTCAAATCATCTTGGTGATCAGGGGTGAGGTGGGGAGGGGAGGGGAGGGGTGAGGGGGAGGGGAGGGGGGAGGAGGGGAGGTGGGGAGGGTGGGGAGGGGAGGGGTGCGGGAGGGTGGGGAGGGGAGGGGTGGGAGGGTGGGGAGGGGAGGGGGATGGGTGGGGAGGGGGGAGAGGGGTACAGGAAGAAGGAAGAAGAGAAGTTTTCTCACATCCTCCCTCTAACATTACAAAAAGCACTCTGAAGTAAATTAATAAAACCTATGAAAGTGTGATTTCTTCAGGTATCATATCAGGTGGATCTGCCCACAAGGAAAGGTAAAAGAATCACTCATATTTATTTTGCTTTTTGTGAACCACATCCCCTTTCACACAGAACACTTATGCATGCGAATGCCCTCTTCCCTACTACTCTTCCACTTGAAGTTATCACAGAACTCATTCCATTCTCAATCCACTTAATTGCGGCCAGATACCCAATGTTCCAGCACCACGTGCAAAGACCCACATTTATTCTCACCATTGTCACACTCAATCACAAATCACGAAGAATCAGAAGAGCACAAGAAACGAAACTGTTCGACAGAAACTTAGCTAACCACTTTGACAATACCACGACCTACACAGAAAATCAAAATAAAACCACAAAATTACAGCTACACAACTTTCGCCTCAACAGACAGAATAGATACCCCGTCAAGGTTCTGGGATGAGAAATGACGAAAAGGAGAAAGTAACAATCATAAAATATTAAAATTATTTTAGTAGTTTAATTTTTAAAATTTATTTAGATCACCCATTCCTGCTTATTATAATTATGTATCATGTTATGTACGTTATGTTACAAGATCTCTGTCCTCCAACAGATTCCCCCTAACTACCCCACACATCTCTACCATGGATTTCCCCCTCACCTGAGCAGCGTGAAACAGTGGTTTAAACGGCTTCCTTAAGTTGTACCGTGAACTCTACTTCAGCCAAAATTATAATGGATATATTTTTTAACCTACATATATTTACCTTTACCATAACTGGTATCTCACCAAAATCTTTTTCAATTAAAAACTGTGCATTATTTATTTTGCAGCATACATATCCCTGAAGTTTTCCTTGATAAGATGTCATCGACTGTCTAGCCTCAGTAGGAAATACTTCCTTTGTGCGAGCTCCAAGAGACAAGGCATCAGATAATGTTGGTCTTAACACGTGTAAATCCTATAAAAAATAAATAAAACAAATCAATCTCCTAAAATGCTAAAGACTAAGAGGTAAGTTTGTAACCAAGTACACTCGTTATTTACAGCAATATCAGAAATGGAATAAATAAATGTAATAACTTAAACCAGTCTTTTACATTACAAACCTTAAGAGAAAGTGACACAAGTTCTCCACTGGGAAGATTAAATTCAACAGGATCTAAATCAGCAACAGCTTTTGTCAACCCTTCGCCAACAGCAAAGTTGAATGAATCTATGTGAGGGGCACCTAAAGAACTGAGAAACTGAAACACACAATTAATTTAAATAGTAAAATGTTGAAACTTGCACAAGTAGTATTTGAAGCTTTGTTTTCAATTTCAAAAGTCAAACACAAAATCTAACCGTGTGGCTAATTTGCAGATCACCTCAGTGATAAAACAAGATAACTAACAGAACAGTATGAAATTAATAGGCACAAAAAGTCCAAAATTTATGACCATGGATGAAAACAGAAAACCAACAGCATTATCTTAAGGCTTGATATTGAATACAAATTTCACCTACAAATATTGTAAATATTATTTAAACAATTTTCAATTTATAATTAATGTCAAGCTTTAAGGTTGTCCTATTTATTTGGTTTTTAATTTTAGTTTCGATCTTAAAATTAGGATATATTTTATCTGTTTATTTTATGCTGTATTTTCATAGTAGGTTAATTATATATTGTTACATAATACGTTATTTATTTTGTCTCTTTAAGGTCTAAGGTGGACTGTCAATCAGGAAGATGGAAAGTTTGCAATGTGATTCTATATTGTATTTGATGTTATTATATTATTGTATTTGTCAACATTGTATTCTGTGTTGTATGCAAAAGTGTGCACATTATTATATTATTATATTGTATTTGATTTTCCAGAATCAAAATTTAACACTAACTTTGTTTTGAAGAATATATTTTGGGTAATCCTGAATTTACGTTATTGTAACATTTCTTAATTTAGATATATTATTTGGCTGAATCCTAATTGTTTGAAAACTAATGCAATTCAACTGAAATGTTTAATCCAATTAGTATCCTAATTAACGAAAGCAGTTCACTGACACTGAAAGCAGTTTAATGTTGAAACATTTGTGAGGCAGAGTGTAATCACATACCAATTCAAAAAAACTGATAAAGAGTCATACCTCATTTGGTTTATGAGGTATCGATCCAAAACTAGAGGTTAAATTCTTCAAAGACGGGTATTTGGGTTCGTTCTTTATACAAAACCCTGCCATTGTTAACGTTCAACTGCTCATTTCTTCCTCCAATATCACAGTTCTATAGATTCAGTATCTATCGGGAGGCACACTCTCACGGCAATCACAAAGTGTCTTCACTAAACACAACTTAGGTTATAGGTGTTATAGGTTATAAACACGCATGGGCTAAATTCACATGGAGGGTCGATCGGATAAGTTTTCGTCACACTCGTGTTGCACGTGGAGGAAGAAGATGCATTTGAATTGTCCGGACCTGCCGGCAGATGGCAACATTGCTTGCGCAGTGCGTATGTTATTTGTTCTCTTCGAAATTTGTCTTGATTTTACCGAATGACCGGATATTTCAAATCTCAATATTTTAATGACTTTCATACCACACTTTTACATTTATATATATACATCATTTTTTTACTTTTTGCGTTCAGTATGTATTAAAATTACGTAAGAAGTCATGCAGATCAGTAAGTTAAAGTATGATTAATAATTTTTAACTGAAAAGCTCATGATATAGTAATGAAAAATTGCTCGTTTTCAGTTCGTATTTTTAGGGGTCCCCTCGGCCTCCTCTTTATTGCTCATATAATAGCATCGTGGGGAGACAGAATGTGGTGGTTTGCTGGAGGAATTTTTATGAAAGATCTTGCAGGATTTTCATATCATTCACTACTGTTTGTAGGTGTATATACATTCATGGTCTCTGGTACTGTATTAACATTTGGAGCAGTTATGGGTAGATGGATAGACAATACACCTCGTTTGAGAGGTAATGATTTTTTTCTTTTCACTTTTTATGTAATGATAATAATTATCACATTACCTCCACTTTCATTCGCCATTATTCTTTTTGGAAACCAGACAAATTAAACATATTTTGAAGTTCATTTTTGAATATCAATTTCTGTATTAAATGTAAAGTTACTCTATAGATTTTTAATTTAATTTTTAATTGTCATCACAATGTATTGTATCTTTTCTTTTAAATTGTTACAGCAGTTCAAATCATTCTGATATTACAAAATTCACTTCTCATCTTTTCCTGTATAACTGTAGTTGTGATGTTTAAAGAATGGGATTTTATTATCAAAACATGGAATGGAATTTTGCTTAGAACACTACAAGCATTTGTGATAGTCACAGCATCATTTTCACAACTTGCAAGTACAGGGACACAAATTATCATACAAAAAGATTGGATAATTGTAATTTGTGATGGTGACATGGATCTACTAGCAAGTAGGTACGGTTCAAATTTAGGTATACATAATCTTCAGCTTTGCTGTATTTGAAATTACAATGTTTCTGATATGTATTGTTTTCTTAACAGCATTCAATTCAATTCTTCGAACAATAGACCTTACTGCTCAAGTTCTAGCTCCTCTTACAGTGAGCTTAGTCATAAGTCATGGATCATCACTATACACGGCTGGCATGATAGGAATTTGGAACCTCCTATCAATGATTGTGGAGTAATTCTCTTAATGCAAATCAATAAGGAAATGATGTTTGTATTCAGAGCCATCTTAATCAATAGGCTCACTGAGTCCAGATCTACAGCCTATAAATTTGAAGACCCTGAGATTGTAGAGAGATATTAAAATCTATTGTGACAATAGACTTGCCCCATTTCACCAGGTGAAAAGTTCTGTGAAAGGAGATTGCCAAAATCTTGGCCAAAAAACAGAAGCTCCGGACTATAGCTCAGTGGTAAACAGCTTTAGCTGTAAAATCACTGGGGAAAAGAACTGATTAAAATACACTGTTAAATTCACTTTGGGTTAAAAACTAGTCTCAAAACTAATTTCTACATAATAAATATATGATGTTTGGTTTTCAAGAATTGTAGTAATCGTCTTTTTAACTATTTACAAAATATCATTCTGTCAGCTTTGATACATCCCAGATACATTTTACACGGTTAATAATTGAATTAAAAAAAATAAAAAATGATATTTTATTTAAAATTTGCTAACAACAGGAGCCTATTTGATATTTAAGATGGCTCTGTTTGTATTTCACATTAATTTAATTAAATTTCTCTTAATTTCAGATATTATATATTTTACAAAATATACACAAAAATTCCTAAATTAAAAGAACAAAAGAGAAAAATGCAGCATATAGATTCATGTTCTGAAAAGTATGCTGAACATGATGTTTGTCCAACAGATGAGAAACGCAAGATCTGTTGTGACTGTTTTTATGCTTTCTTTTATGACTGGAAGTTCTATTTTTCTCATACAATTCGTTTTGCAGGCTTTGGTCTTGCATTACTATATATGACAGTTTTGGGTTTTGATTCTATAACTACAGGTTACTAAAATTAATATTATTATTATTGTTAAGAATCATTCAAGAAATATGAACATGCTGTTGGGAGAAAGAAAAAAAGATTTTTGCTACTAAATTATATGAAGGAAGGTGTAGTAATGATTTTTAATAATGATTTTTGTAAACATATTTGTTGAATGACCCCTTAACAGGAATCGTCAGCAGGGCTGTCAGAAGTATCTTTTGTTGATGGGGAGGGGGGACGAACTTTTAGTGCACAAACAAGAGATCCATGAAAAGGCAAACTTATGAACAAAGTTATGAATATGAAATTTTGTATAATAAAAATTTAAATTTAAACAAATTAAAAAAACTGCCTTTTATTTTTTTTAAATTGATTTTTTGTTTATTTATGTACATTTTAATGTACGTGATCAATTACTCATTAATTATTGATGATTGGAATTGATTATTTAATACTTTACCTACTTTCAACTTCTTCCAACTATTGTAATAATTGTTAATACAAAATTTTAGTATTATAAATATTTTAAAATTTCACATTTGTTTTTAGTGAGAGGTTAGATCATACTATTCACAGATTCTAAGGAAAAGAGACTGTCCTCTCTGATCCGCACTTCCGACATCCCTGTTATGTACCATATTGTTTTGAAATGTGTATGTAAATAATACTTTTAAAATTCAAGAGGAAGAAAGAAAATTACAATTTGCTTCCACAAATGCTGCTACTTGCAAATTTGAGGGAAAATAGATTGACGAGTCAGATAAAGAAAAAAATAATTTTGTTTTATGACATGCCATAGTCTAGCCAAATCATATCCAGTATTTGGCAAGATATTATTTTATTTCCAGTGTCTTTCAGGACCCAATTATTAATTATTTGTGAGAATTAGATGTTTACCACAACACTGAATACAATTTGAATTCTCCAAATTTTTGCTTGGATATATCATTGATTAATTGCTCTTTATACACTTTAAGAATGCTCTAAAAATAAAGAAAAATTACGTAAAAATTGATCAAAGCCACTTCAAAAGAACAACTCAAGCTGTTGGATGTTACTGATGTAATCAAGGCTTCTTCCTTTTGTTCAAGTGAACTGAGCTAGCAAACTTTTAGTTTGGACTGTTCTTTAAAAGAAAATCTCTGCTTTTATTGTGAAATAGGTCAAACTAACAATGGCACTGATAGGCTTCACAGGAACCTTAAATTATATAGTACTCTCAACATGTGATATACAAGAGAAGAAATTGAATAGGCTACTCAGGAATTCGGGGGTGAACATTTGTTGCACCTCATAAATATTGTTTGAAACAAGTACCATTAAAATGATATTAAAATCGATGATATCTGCGAAAAGTGCATTAAAAACGACATGAAAAGGTAAAAAAAAAACTTATTAGCTGAAATCAACAAAAATCGGAAAAAAATGTGTTATTTCATTTAGTCATAATAAAAAATGATTTTCTATACTAAACGAAATTGTTCTAAAGTGAAAAAAGGGGGGGGGGGGATTACATCATTAAAATCCGCCCTCTACTAAAAATAGTAGGAATAATAATAATAGTAATAACTATAATAACATTTAAATCCTTTCCATAGTAATTAATCCAATCTGTTTACTGGTATAATGGCACAAAGTACCATAGTCATAAACTGCAGGATATTAGGTCTATCAGATGTTCCTTTTGGCAAAGTAGATCTGGTGGTTTATGCCTCCAGATGTTTGTGTTCTCTCCATTTTCTTTTTTGTCTTCTGACATCTCTTTGGCCAGTAGGTTTGTGTTTTAATGCTAGATTGTGGAATCTTTCATTCTTCATTCTCTTTATATGTTATAACCAAGTATTTTGATTTTCTTTTATTATATTTTTTTTCCTTGAGTTTTTTTTAATAACGATATTCCTGTTGATCCAATTGTGTTGCTTTGGATATAATATTGTGAATTTGCATTTTTATTTTCCAAGTCATACCTCTTTCTTGACTATTCCATTAACTGTTATACTTCAGTATTTTAGTTTATATATCTTCTTCATTTTGTCCAATATTGCTGCATAGATAACAGAACTTACATACTCATTCTATTGCCTCCCTTCCTATTACTATCTTGACCTATCTAACTTCCTTTCCTTTAAAGGTCATTGCTCTTTGTGAATTACCATGTTATACTCTTCTGCTATTTGAATAGTTCATGTGCTGTGATTTGTAGATTATCTTCTGCTTCAATTACAATTTCCAAATTGGCACGAAGTAAAACATTTTAATTAGTTTATTCATTGTGAAATGTGAGAATAAAGGTTAAAATGAATAATCAACATTATTTTAAACAGCATACATTACGATGACATCTTGTAAAAGCAAAATTTTGCTAAGAATTGAATGTTTCAGCTTCTTTTCAAATAATAAAATTTTCTTTTTGCATCCAGTATAAAATGTTAAACGGATGTTTAGCAAGTGTTTTTAATTTCATTTTCTCTCTCTAATGTAGCGTTTGGTGATACGCAAATATCAACTGATGTAGTGGCTGCCTGCCAAGGAGCAGCAGCTGTGATGGGAGTATTGGGCAGCATTTCATTTCCTCAGATACGGAAAAGTATACAGCAAGAATCGATAGCATTAATAGGCCTTTCTTTAGAGGTATATTATATTTTTTTTCTCCCTGGGAAGCTTGCATAAATGATTAAGGCCTTTAAACTTCTTCTTTAATTACCAGTTTACTTCATTGGTAATACAAGAACGAAAATATTCAAAACTTGGTAGTTGAGCAACGAAATACAATATAAATTCTCCGAGACAGGATTTCCCCAGAAGAAGGGAATCCTTACTTCTCTTAAATTTGAACCATGTCTGGGTTGCTTCTATTCTTATAAAATATAGATAACTTCAAGCGTCAACTGAACTCACATAGCTTTGTTATTAAAATGCAAGTTTTTTTTCCCATGGGTAATTTGGAATTTCTTTGACAGGTGATTTCACTAGTGCTGTGTGTAGTGTCAGTATGGGCTCCAGGATCTCCATTTGATGCAAATTCTTTGAGTACATTTTCCGATCCCTTTGAAGATACAGGTGAAGCCATTCTGGATCCAGAAGCTGAAACAAAGGTTGTTGGAGACCCAACAGCAATGATCTGTCTTTTTGCAGGAATAATAGTTTCACGATATGGTAAGTGAATAAACTGATCTTCACTATGGAAAAGTTATTAATTATCTTCCACTCTTTTGAGTCTGGAGATACTGTGAATACAAGTACTTGAATACAGTGATAGACGTACTACTGTCAAATTCACTAGAGTAAATTTTCCCAGGAGTATTATTGAGTTTTATTTGGAGTGAAAGAAGTCCATCCACTATTTTGGGATTAAAAAGATGTCAACTGGATTTTTACCTATAGGACATTTGAAGAACTGTCTTAGAAGTAAGAATTATGCCTCCAGTAGTATGTTTCCTCCAAATTGGGAAATATAACACTTCAAAATGAATGGTTTAGAAATCAAAATTACACAGCGTTTCGATAAAAGTCAAAGTCAGATTAAGATTTGCATTCTACTTTTAAGACCTTATTGTTATATAATTATGAATTATATAAAAAAGAATCAATACAAATTTTACAACTATGTAATGGGTTATAAAATTTCATGACAGTTGTAATACTCAGGCAGAAAAGGAAAATCAATAATACTGCTTGGGCAGAAACAATCAGCAAAAACATTATTTGTTAACAGTTTCCATTTACAAAACTAATATGAAGTCAGAGAAGCTGAGATACAAAAAGCTCCTAAAAATAATATATTAACACTGTAAATAACTTTTAAGTCTGATTTATTATTTCTTACAATGAACTGCTAGTAGTTGAAGCACCTGTTAGAAAACTTTCTTTCGCCTACAAAACTGTAACATTCATTACCTGCTTTCATCAATATCTACGACAATAATTCACTACTAGTCTCAAAATTGTTTGTCAATAATGCAGGTTCATCATCAAAGAAGGAAAGACATTCTCGATTATACCAAACATTTATTTATATTTATTTTTACTTATTTTTTATCTTATCAATACCACGATAAAGCTTGCACTGTTTGAGTTGGTGTAATTTCTTTTTTGTACAGCAAGTAAAAGAATGTGTTACAAACATCACAAATATTGCTGAAACTAAGAATAAGGTTTCTTGTATTGAAAATAAAGAAAAGGTTTTTTAAATTTTTAATTTGAAAGGTTGAGTGAATGATTAATATCACTCGACAGTCAATCTGCCCTTAACAAACACTCTAAAAAATGTGTTTTGTAAACAAATTTTTCTCATGGAGTTCTTTCATGTACTTAGGAACTGTTAATGCAATTATTTCACTAGAAATGTGTCCCAAATTTTCAAATGAAATGTTGCTTACTTGCTAAGTAATATTAAGATTGTCCTAGCCAAGCCAGCTCTTGGGTGCATTAAGGGTACTTCCCACATTTGTAAGAGCTCCTCTTCCATGATCACAATGGGGAAATATCTAGAAAGGGGAGTTAGGTGCGGAAGGAGAGCTTGTACTGTATAATTGAATCGAAGAGTTCGAAAACCAGTCATCTCCATAGAGACTAGTTAAGCAGAAGCCAAAACCAAATAATTCAATACTCATGTGACATGTGGGGCTTTTTGTGTTTTTACATGAAACTATGAATACTATCATGTAAAAATTTAAAAGGCCCTGTGTGTTGCATGAGCATTGAATGATTTAGTTCTTTGTTTCTCTAGTGCTGTTGGTGCTTTTCAAACTCATTGATTCAATTTCAGAAAAAAGTTGGAATAATCCTGAAATGATTCTCCATTCAATGTTAACAAAGCAAACTCAGGCTAATTGATAAATAATGAAAATGTGTATTTAAAAAATATGAGTTTATTTTATTAGGTAATTAGAGTAATACGTAATTACAATATACGTATTACATTTAATACAAGTACAACTAAATGTGATTTTTGCAAGAAACAGAACTGATATTCACAAATTCTTTTAAACTCCTGCTCCTTTTTTTGTAACAACTGATTACATATTCCCTTTTCTCCAAAAAGAACGTTCCATATCATCCCCCTCCCCCTTTTGACTTAAATTAAAGTAATTCCTTTAAAAATTGTGATAAATTTTATTTTTTTATTCACAGGATATTACTTTTGATACAATAATTACAATCACACAAGTTTATCAATCACGAAAGTTTGACAGTTATGTACATTTTAATGTAATTCTTCAAAAATAAAAGGAAATGCATTTTTTAATAATTAGGACACTTATTTACACATATTTAACATTAAAAGTGCAGTACATATTACAAAAATATTGAGAATATTTATTTTCCAAAAACTTCTTGCCCCCTTTCCCATTTTCAGTTTCATCATGGTTGTGAGATACTTGCATTAGTGAACATTATTTTTGAAGGGCCTTTAATTCCCCTTTCACAATGTTATGTTGTAATTCTCTCTCCTGTGAGTATTCAGGGGAGATTATATATACAAACTGTTGAGCACATTATTCTACAAGAAATATCAAAAATACATTTGTCATGAAAACACACAAGTGGTAAGAAAAACGCAGTACAATATTTTATTCAGAATTATTTTCCTGGGTTCTGAATAGTGAGAATGCATACCACTGACAAGCCCCCCCCCCCAAAGATATCAAAAACAAAACAAAAACATGAAAACTCCATTAACAGAGAATGTATGTATGTTTTCTGCATTATGAAATAGGATTAATTATTTTTGTTTAATTTTCATTATTAGGCCTCTGGTTAACTGATATCACAATCACTCAGGTAATGCAGGAGAGAATTGAAGACAACAAACGAGGAGCAGTGAATGGTGTTCAGGATTCGCTCAATATGGCGATGGACATGATCAAATCTGTGCTTGTCGTTGTGTTTCCTCGGCCTGAACAGTTTGGTCTGTTGATCATACTGTCCTTTTGTTCAGTTTGCAGTGGGTAAGAATTTATTTGTTTACTTCAATAAAGGGATGGACAAAACCTTTTCAAAAAAGAAAAAATAATATTTAAGTACAAAATATTAAAAACTCCAAAAATTTAATTTAATAAAAAACGGTTTCTTTTTTAATTTAAGACATTCACCAATTGATTAGAAGTTAGAGTTAGCAATGTTTCGGCTGTTATCTTCTAGCCATCTTCAGGCCTCTGGTTTAAAGAAATCATGCTACAATTGACATTACTGGATGACATACAGAAATACTTGATTTTTAACTACAGATCGAAAGTTTCAATCGATATTGTGCACTGTACAATACCAGAAAATATAAAGAATTTCTTTTAACTACAGGTCAAAAGTCATAAAATTAATAAAGATTTGTATCATATTTATCACATTTTGCATAAGTTGACAGAAGCTGATCTTATCAGTAATCAAGCTGGAGTGCAAATTAATGACTAGCAAAAAAATATTTACATTATTAACAATGCATACAGTAACTGAAAACACTGTGAGAAGTGTGCATTTTCAGCTGTCCTCTGACAATGGAGTTAGTTATGAGCAAACATAGTTCAACCGTTGAGGAAGGAGCTGGGGGAGAAGAATGACAGAGCGAGAGTGGGGTAAAATCAACTGAAATGAGAGATAATGAGACCTTCATTTCACTGAATATGTATGATTTAATTCTATTATTGTTAACTTGCAATAGCACGTTGTAAATTCTGGTGAAGGAATTGGTATTTAAAGATCGATTTAGTTTTATATGCAAGGTCTCTGACACATTCTTTGGTCTAGAATCTTTATTTTTAAATAAAATATATAAAAATAAATTTTGGAGAATAATCATTGAAGGCTAGTATGGATTTTACAATGTGGATATTGTGGTAATTGAATCTATGATCAGGCAATTTAATACCTGTCAATTAAATTATAGGTAATTGTTACCTTTTGATTAAATGTTTGTTTAGAACAATAATTGAAAATTCTCTCTTTATTTACAGGTTTCCTGTACCGATTTGTAAAAATATTTTCATTTTTTCTAAAAACAGAAAAATCAAAAAAATTAAAAACATTATTTTCTTTTTTTCTGTAGTGAACAGTGTAATCGGATTGAGTTTTTTGAAATTTTCGAGTCTCCTCTATATAATCTTTTTTTAATTTGAGGAAGGCGTCAATAAAAGAAATGGTCAGTTTTTGATAATACAGAATTATCAAGGTATCTGATTACCATTTCTGAGAAAAGTCTTCTAATGGGACCTCCAAAAGGTGCACCTTAAAAAAGGAACTATTTTTTGTGAATAATAATATAGACATTCATGAGGAGAAGTTTTACAAAAATTGAAATAAAGTCATAATCATCATCATGAACTGAAAGGTGTTTAGGGGTTTACAGCCTTTTCCATTACTTCTGCAGTATTCTTGTTAGTTGGTCTTCCAGGTATTTCCTGCTGTTGCCACTTCTTCCCTGGTTTTCCAACATCTCTGTTCCCCGCTAGTTTATAATTCCATATTAGTTTTGGCCATCTGATATTGTTCATTATTTTTTTGCAATTTTCTTTGAGAGTTTTCTATTTCCTCAACTAAGTCTTTAGTTTTCAGTTTTTGATTTGTTTGATTCTCATTCTGTTAAATAAAATCATAGCTATAAAAAGGATAAGAGCATTGTAAGAAAATAATATTTGGTATCAAGCATGTTTAAATAGAACATTTTGTTGTTTTCAAATCGCTTAAAGTCAGGATCCAAAAAAATCTATGTTGTGACAAAGTTTATTAACAAATTTACAGATTCTATTAAAAATATTATTGGAAGCATGATTTACTCTGCGGAATTTGGAAAGAAAAAGAGGTTTACTATGAACTAATTTAATTGTGATGATTGATAGTCAACATCATCAAATTAACAAAAAACCTTAAAAAGTAGCCAAAGTAAGAAAGTTGATGGCAGGTCATATTTTTTGCTAATAATTAAAACTCAACACCAATGTCTTCTTTGGAACTGGTATTTTATGCAATATTCCACAATTCAAAATTGTAGGATTATAACTTAGCAGCATTTATATTATTAGGAATTGTGTCAATTAAATCTTACAAAATCAATTTTTAAAATTTAAACAATGTCAATTTTAATGTAATTTTCTGATGTCAAATAGTTTTTCTCTTTAGAGAACCCTTGAAGGCTTTGGGAAACGATGAGGTTGAGAAAATAATTTTAAAAATATGGGCCCTGAAATTTAGATTAATTATTTGCAAGTCCAAAAATATTTTGTTTCAAATATGCAATGTTATGCAGATTTTAATTACTTTAACACATTTTTTGAACTTATATTGCTAGCATTCCTTCTAGGTGAAATATTTTGGAATATTATTATTGGAGGGTGTGTGTGTGTTTCTTTTTTGTTTGTTTTTTCCCCTCCCAATATTAAGGAACTATTTTTACATTTATGTACATAAAAGTTGGAAATTTTTTTGTTATGCTAATATTAAACGTTTTTCTTGTTGTAGTGTGATGTTCTACAATTCTATTGCAGCAAATTCACCACAACTGAGTGTCTTTATTAGATCAAAAACCATAATTCTAAACGTAAAAGAATATAAACATCAAACAGAGACTAACCAACAAACATTTTCATCCACCAGATTGATAAGCTACGGTATCTTCCACTGCCAAATCCAGCGTCTGGTGAAGGTTTCAAAAGTTGAAGAATCGACAACCTCACAACAAGCAATTGCTGCAAACTAAAGATAAAAAGGCCTCAAAATATAGTTTCAGCATACACACATTGAATGTCCAAGAAAGGTTCATTCCTATGATTTCACCACTTTCTAGGGTTATGAAAAGAATATGTCATTTGATTTAATTAATAAATTTAAAAAATAACAAATATGGTTTTATTTTATTTAATAAAAATACATTAAAAGGGGTCGATTTCAATATCCTCCCCCCCCAATGGTGCAGGCACTTCAGCTTGTGGAAGCGGAACAGGAGAGGGATAGTATAAGTTTGATGCACTATGCTCTTTGAAATAGTCTCCTCCATTTTCCTCATACTCTTCTCTAGACATTAGATATTTCTGTAGCATATCTGATGCAGCAAAAGTTCTAGCACCATGCCACGCATTTAGAGAAGGATTAGACGCTAGAGTAACTTCAAATGTTGTCTTAAAAGGTCTCATTTCCTGAAGTTCCCTTCTAAGTCGTGCTTCCAAGCCAGGAAGAGTAGAGCAGCCTCCCGTCAAGAACACATTGGAAACCAGCGCTGCTTGATCTTCTGGAGAGAAACCACGCAACATGAATTCTATTGTTTCAGCCAGACCCGCTTCCCCAGAGCCTATCATTGACGGCTGAAACAGAATTTCAGGTGCTCGGAGCTTTTCAACTCCGACGTGCAATTGATGGGTTTCAGCAGTTGTAGCTGCATTACCAGCAGAAGGATCCTCAAATTCAGGATCATGTTGTCGGAGAACCTCTTCAAGGTCAAGGAGTTTTTGTTCCTCATCGCTATCAGAATCACCACCCTCCTTGACAAACAAACAAAAAAAATAAATAAATAAAGTTTTCCTTTTATTTGCAATCCACAAGTTTAAAGATAAATAAGGTTTCTTTCGGCAAAAAGGCTTCTAAATCAGTTTAAAATAGGTTAACAATCACTTCTAATTCAATCTGCAGTCAAAACAAATACCAGCGAAGGTTCATACAGTCCTGATTTACCTCTACCTCACAAAATGAGTTAAGTTGAAAATATAGATAAAATGAGACAGCCAGTAAATACCCACAAAGGTGTAAGTGTTGGAGAATGATATTAACATTCAACCTTTCTACTCAACTAGTATCAGAAAAGAAGGAACAGCAGGCTCATTACTAATCAGAACAAAGATTAAGAAAATTGCATTCATACTCATGCTCTTCCTACAACCTAATTAAGTCTAATGTCACAAATATATTCAAATCCCACACAATATGAGAAAGATGGTTATAATGACCTTGTTTATTGCCTTGTACACATCCCAATCTTCATCTCTCATTCCAAAAGTATCATCTCTTTTTTCCTTGCGTGCAAGTTGACTGATAAGTCGCATCCTTTCTTGCGCTGCTGCTGTTCTTCTTCGAGCCATATCTTGTCGTCTTTGTCGTCGTGCATTACGCTTATCCAAAATTTCTTGCCTGAAGAAAGTAATACATATACCGTTTGAACATGTCAAAGACAAAATTTAACATTTAATTTAAGCACCAAATTACAACTCATTTACAACACAACATTCTATTATTTACCACTTATTTACTAAACATTAAGTTGTTTACATACCAATAAAGCTTCTAATGATTGAGCAGATCTTTAGAACCTGTTAAGGCCCATGGGACATACATGGTTTTATTTTTTTATTTAATTTTAATGATTCACATTTACTAATTAACTAGACGCTCACTTCATTCGGTTTGACTTCTCATATTTCACTCCCATGATTTCCTTTTAAAATTCCCTTTGTCGCATCCTTCAACTGTTTTCATATTTCCCTTGTAACCATAATCCCCTCAATTCAGGTAAGTTACACTGTATATCGAGCTCCATATTGAAAGCAACAAGTAAGTAAGGTGTCAGTAAAAAGTAAATGATATTTTTACATACCTTTTATGTCTAATGTCAGCAATCCAAGTATCAAACTCTTCTTGATCTTTTGGTTTCAATATCTTTGACTTTGTTTTAGGTTCCTAAATTAACATCTCAAGTTAAATATGTGCCAAGCCATATAATCCTTAAATAATAAAATTAATACTATTACCTCTACAATTGGTTCCTCTGTAGTATTGGCAGCAACTATCTTTTGGCGTGTTTTCTCAATTCTTGTTTGAAGCTGACTAATCATTTTTTGAAGATCAGCTAAATTAGATAATCCATAGGAATCTAAAGCTTGCTGAAAGAGACAAAAAGGAAAACATGTGTATGCCAAAGAGTTTTCATTAATGTTTCAGAGTCAAAAAGAACAAACAATAAGAACCTTTATTATCTGCAATATTAACACTGCAATGAGATTAGTGCAGTATTAATGTCTGTCTACTTTTCTTATTCACAGCTTGAAGTAAGGATCAATCAACCAATCAATTTGAAATGTAAGTTTGTTACATATAAAGCATATTTTTAATTTAATATAATATGCAATACAGACAGTGCAAATGAAGGGGCAAATGCTGAAACCTATTTTCTTTTAAAGCAATCATATATTTTCACTTGTGCAGTGCAATGGTTAAGTAGTGAATTCTATATATAATCAGAGGAAAATTACGTTGTTGAAAAGTTTTCAAAGATTTTTTTCTCAAATTATAATTTTCAAACAACGCAATTTTCCTCTGATTATATATAGAATTCACTACTTAACCAGTTTTTTTTATATTCCCTGACTTTTTCCCGTTGCTAGACACCCTGCAATTTTATAAATATATTTCGTGAAAGTTTTAGAATTCCATGAATAATTATGCCTTTGCACTTGATGGGATTTATTACAAACTGATTACCCAAAGACCGAAGCTGTCAGAGTTACATACTAGCAATCACTAGGTTTTACCGTCATCTTACAAATTTCACAATCGTTTTGGTATTTGAAATAAAGGTAAAAAAATTCACATTTTACAAGAAATGTGAATTGCGAAGTTAAATTAATAGAAGAAAAGTAGTTTCGGGCCACATATTTTTATGATCAACTAAATTTTTAATAATTTTCTGTGTTGCATAAAAACTTTGTATCTTTACAACTCCGTATCCATGCTGTAAAGAGAGGGGAGGGAAAAAAAAATTTTAAAAAAAAAGCATTAAAAAAATTACACCTACCTGGAACTCTTCCTCCTCCCCTTCTTCCACCAAGTCTTGCACTGCAAGTAACTGGTTCAACTGTTCCTCATCCTCAGCAAGCTAAAAAAACATTAATACATGCTACAATACATTTCATCATTTCAACGCAAAAGGAGAAGGCATGATTTAAACCTGCAAATTAAAAACAAACTATTCTTTGATCATAATTTTACAGTACATATTTATATGAAATCACAATATCCACTTCAGAAGACACAATTTATGCACAGTTAGTTTCAACAAAAATCCTAAAAAACATTTTCTGTCAAAGTGGATTGTTGACAAACGAGACACTTAACCTCAAGAAGTTATCAACATGAAATGATATTTAGAAACTGATTCGGCAACTCGTTAGTTTGAATTGATTGAAGTGAATTGATGCCTTATTTTATGTGGCGAGTCTCAGACTTCCATCTGACCATGCAAATTCGCTACGCTCCTTTCACCCACTAGGAAAAAAAGGAGGTATTTCTTGGGCCACGAAACAGGCGATTTGAATTTAGCTCAGAAGTGTCGTTTACACTTGAGGATCTTTTACATGCAAGTAAATCTACTAACATGGGACAGCCGGCTTCACTTCCCCTCAGAAGGAAGACGTACGAAGGATTTTTTCGACCTTAAAAATCCACGGCTTTGATCAAGTTTTAACCCGCCAACTTGGGTATAACAGTCTGATATGCTAACCGTTTCACCATCGTCACCGCGCAAAACGTTAAATTATAATAGTTGGGTATTTATTTTTATTTTAGATATTTATAAAATTTTATGTATTAAGTATAACTACAAATCAAATCTGACATCAGTTGTAACTGCCTGTTCACTAAACAAAAAAAATTTTAAACAAAATTAAAATCACCCGCTCTTCTCGTTTCCTGGCATTAATTTCCACCAGTCTTCGTGCAAGCTCACGGCGCCTCTCCCTCTGCTGTTCAGCGCTCAGGCCTGGGGCAACTGGAGCAATTGTGTAAGGGAGCTGCACTCGCACCACATGTGCTTCGTAGTAGTCTGTATCAGCCCATCGAGACAACTCCTCCATATAATGCTCCGCCACAAATGTTTGGTCATGCACCAACTCCTGTGGAGGCAAACGTGGGATGAAACTCTAGGGAATATAAATGCTATATCCAAGGTATGAAAAAATAGAGGGTTTATTAAAAAACTTAACCCAGTGAGATTTATAGAGGAATATTATTTTTGAAATATACTTCATATAAAGTTCTGATTTTTAATTCAACCAGTAGAACTAACATACATTCGAATTACCAAGAGTACATAATAAACAAACACATAACGTACAGTAATGTTGCAAAAGAAGTTTGCAATTTACCGTAAGTTTATTTTGTATTTAGATACTCTTTGTATTCATTTGTTGCGATGAAATTAGAGTTGTCAATACTAGTGAATGAAGTTGTATTTTATTGTCAGTTTAATTTATTTTTATACACTTTTCTGAATGTATTTGTCATGATTAAATTTCATTTTTCAATGAAAATTTTCATATGTAAAATTATAAGCTTTGTAATTTTATTTGAAATAACTACAAAAAGCTTAAAAAATGTAAGTGGGTTTTCATGTTGGGAGAGCAGGGATTGGGGTAAATGTAGCCAATCCTGGCTAACTCTAGGTTGAAGAAAATAAAATTTAATATACCACATATACATGAAAATCAATTAGTAACACTTTCTTACCAAATAATATACATAAAAGAAACAAAATATTAATATTTATCAGATTTAATACACCATAATGTAATGATCAGGGAATGGATTTATATGGACTAAAAATATACGAAATATGTAAATATATATGTAGTAATTTTTATCACAATATGGAGTGAAATAAGTTAAATATAGACAAAATGATTATGGTAAAATAATATTTAATAATTAATCTTAAATTTAAAATAAAAATAACTTTCATCTTTGAATTGTGAAATGCAACATGTAATTTTATATTGACTGACTACTTTTGACATTTTATGCTGGCTTAATAGATTATTATAACTAAACAAACACATACGTAGTATTCTGACTGGATTGTAACTGACAATGAGGAGATTAACAAGATGAATTCTAATGTCCAAGTCTCTGTGAAGTCATGCGATTTCCTGGTGGCAGCCTCAGAGGCTAGGAGGAGGGATGGTGTGGATACTGAAAAAAGGTGCATTTCCTGCAGGTCATAGAGGTTATCTATCAAACAAATCCAATTGCCTAGCCATGCCCCCCTTCACCACACAGGGCACTCATACCCCTAAGACAAGGCCTGAGGGCCAGACTGGATCTAGTCTTCACATAAATTAAAACATTAACAGTTTCTTAATTTGCTTTCCAATTGTCAATTCTCCCTAATTTTCAAAAAATTCTAATGTTTAAAGAATTACTGAAAATGTTTAAGTTTATTTTTCTTTTTGTTGAGATGCATTATTAATATTTAAAGAAACTGATTTTATAAGCAATATGGAAAATATACGAACTTTTATTCAAATATGTACCAAAACCCTAAATAAGTAAAATAAAAATAGCATTTTTCAACCCTACACAATGTGAAACATACAGATATTGCAAATTAGTATCGATATTAGCTTATTTATTAAATATGTATTTACATAGAAATCCATTCCCTGGTAATGATGAACTGATTTGAAAGAACAAAAAAAGACAGATTTAATTTCAGACCAACTAATAAACAAACAATTATCAAGAAACAATATTTTCCAAAGTAGAATGGAAACATTTATGTCCTCTTGTTTGGGGGGTTTGGTTGGTTTGAATTCTACTAGTCTTTTTACCTCAGCTCGGCTTGGAGTTATAGCTGTGTAATGTGCAGGATATTTCAATTGCAGAAGTCGATGAAGATAGTTTATAATATGAAACCCTCCAATGTTGATACGTCTTGCTCTTGTTGGATCCACTCGACCATCAATGAAAGGTAATATATGGGTAGTGTGGTAACTACAATTTACAATTAATGCAGTTTTACAATTGGGATGATTATGTTGGAAACTGAATAAAGCATCAACTCCATAGCATACACTTGGTACACCATAACATTCAAATAGAAGTTCTGACATTACTGAAAATGAAATGAACATACATTGTGTACTAACCACTATACGCATAGGATCAATTCTTAAATAAAAAAATAATCATAAAGCATAAACAGTCTACTGTCTTGGAACAAATTGAACAATACTAGAGATGATTTTCTTAAAACAACTATGTAGTTATAACAATATTTATTTTATCCATTAAAATACTTTTAAATATTTATTTAAATAAATGATAAAATATTTTATGATAACAATTATTTTAAAAACTTACAATGTCTTGAATAGTTAGGATTAAGAAAAGCTTCAGTCACAACCATAGGATGATTAACAGAACCTTCAGTATCAATTCCAAGGTGAGAAAACACGTAATCAAATACTTGCTCTTGAGCTTCAAAGTGAGTAACAACATTCCTATCAAACTGGGTTTTCAACTGAAAACGCACTGCTTCTATATTAGTAATGTCATTACCTACTTGAGTCTCACCATCCTGAAAAAATAATAAATAAATTAAAAATCAGACATATACACCTTTATTACAAATGGAATTTCATAATGACTGCTGAAGAACTCACTTTCTTTCCCCTTTCCTTCCGTGGTTTTGCAATAATGTTTTTGAAAATCATTAGCGGCTCCTTGTTGATAGACCAGCCCACTCGACAATTGTAAGATCCTACAAGAAACAACATAATTGATAATAAAATTGAAAATGATATTGAGTCACTAGAGGAATCAACAGAATATTTACCATTATCAATAACAAGCGGAAGTGCTGAAGATCTCACAGTTTTGGGATACTGATGGATTGGATCAGGGACAGTTTTCAGGTCTTTGAGTTCAACAGTTGTCATAGTTTCCCTTGAATTGTATAATACACACTGAAAAATGGCAAGTCGATATTCAAATTTCTTCACTCTTAAAGGTGTTAGAAGATAAAAGAAAATGTGTATCGCTCTATACGTTGGTTTTCTGCTTTTACATAAGTTTTTTTCCACACTACGACTTCGCCGCAATTAAAATCTACTCTCAGCACCACACAAGTTCAAAATTTAATATTGGCAACATTTTTGTCATTTATCTCATTTTCTTCGGATTCGAAGTCAGCATTTAAACTTCAAAAAACTCAAATTCTTATGTAAACAGAAGTTGATGGCAATTTATTTACAACTGTGTCAATAGGGGTACACAAATATACACAACTCCCACAACTTGAAGTAACACTCATGACGTCTAGATTCTCGACTCCAGAACCATATACTCTCTGTCCAGAACACGCGATTTTCCGGGCTGGTGAGGGCAGCACTATCGCTTCGGTGGCAAGTGTCACAAGTCGGAAACCGCGAGCTACAATTAAATGAGCAGATTGGTTTAAATGCACCATATGAGTCGATTTTCTTTTACTACCTACGTTGAGGCCTTTATTTTTTGGAGGTTTTCCTCTTCCTACACAGAAAAACTTAGGAAGGCTCCTCCCTCCACACATTCTAGAACTGACGAGTTCATTTTTCTCTAAAATGAAGTTGTAATTTTACAAAAGTTGTGTGTGGAAATGGACTGGGGCAAAAATAGCTGGAGAGACAGAACGATTTATTAAATTCTCCATTGTTCCCAGAAATTGGGAATGTAAAATTAAGCCATCCCGGAATAAAGGGCACAAAAGGAGATTTCTTCTTTGAAGCGAGAATATTTATAGGGTTATTTTAAAGTCAACAGTGGCCACTAACAAGTACCGTTATCTTCGTAAATTGCATTTCAAACGTCTAAACATTTTCCTACCATTCTCGCATATTTCACGTGCAAACGTATGTAGTTTTTCAGATGTTCATTGCTACTCAGAGCCTCAACGTTCCACTCCCAAAGGTGGCAGGATTTTCGACACTAGCTACATGGCTAGGTCGAATTCAGCCTGTATCTGGAGGGGAGTTCTAGCAGCCTACTGCTCTGGTCGATAGTTTTCCGTGGTTTCTCCGATCAACACCAAGTAATTGCGGAAACAGTGTCCTCACAAACTAGTCACGAACCGCGCGCGATCATTTCTTCCTCCTTCTTGTCCTAACCCTCACCCCATACTTTACTAGACCCACTTTGAGATAAGATAATTTTATTTGATCTGCAAATGGGCATAACCCGGTGGCAGCTAATTACATAAATAAAATACTACAGCTAACATGCAAATTATATAATAATATAATAATATAATAATATAATAATATAATAATATAATAATATAATAATATAATAATATAATCTATAACTATTCTAAAAAGCAAAAACCTATAACTATTGCGTCTACTTTCTCCCCCGCCCGCTTTCATGCACTGCACTACCACATATGCCGGGAGACCAATCGAGGGCCTAGAGCTTGTCCCGGCTGAAGCGGTGCCCCACTAGCGAGAGATACCTGGTTGAGAAAACCCGCAACTTGATGGGTAGGTTGGCACCGGAACTCACCATCCAGCAAGAGAAAATCACCGCCACATCCCCCGCAATAAAACATGTACTACACTTACGGGACTAATGACATTATTAGTTAACGCGCCTGGAGACCTGATCAATCAATAAAAAACACCGTGCGTCTCATTGTCTTTGAAAGGAAGCCCCCTCTCCGGCCCCCGTCGCAAATCTCTCTTTCCGCGTCCATTCCCTCTTACCCGCCTCCATTCACACACGCCCTACTTCTCAGAAAGGACATCGACACCTCTCGAGAAACAATGCTCAACAAAAGGATGCATTCGCACAGGAGCCCTAACACCTTGAGATAGGGTTACGAGATGAGAATGGGTGTAAAGAAGGACAAATGAGTTTAAAACGCAGGACATATTAAAACAACGGCTAACTACACATTAGTACTGTAACGAATATTGCATCACCTGCCGGAATTCGCTGTGCGCGGATTACGTCGTCTGCCGGCGCCCCCCTTCCCCCGAACTGGACAGTTCCGGACTATTCGCGAGGCGCGGGGAAAGGTGGAGCAAGTGCTGGTTGTGTCGAGACGAGCGCCGGCCAGGTATAAATGCGCCGCTGCCGGCGGCCGCGGGTTAGTTAGTCAGTGTAAGTTAGTGTAAGTAGTAGTCGGAAGTAAGCAGTCGCGAATCAGTGTATGTAATCAATGTATAAGCAGTCTGTCCGTCAGTGTGTCTAAAGTGGAAGCTGTGCTGTAAAGTGTGCATTGCGGTGAACAGTGGTGCAGTGGGTGAACAGCAGTCAGCAGTTTGAAGTCTGCAGTGGAAGCTGAGCTGTGAAGTGTGCATCGCGGTAAACAGCAGTGCAGTGGATCCTAGTGTGCGCAGGGAATTGTGACCAGTGCAGTGAAGTGTGGTCTGCGCAGGGAATTGAGGTCTGCGCAGAGAATAGTGATCTTCGAAGGGAATTGTGGTCAGCGCAGTGGACCATGGACAGTGCTTCGGACTGGGTGATACTGTAGAAGAAGTGAACAATGTAAATAAACAATCAGAAGACGTGAACTCTGTAAGTAAATAATCAAGAGAACGGGGTTGTGTGTAAGGAAAACATAATCAAGTGAAGAAGACAAGAACTGTGTAATCTACCTGTAAATGATCAAGTCGTTTTTAGTGTATAATTAATTACGAATAAACGTAACTACTCTACTTCCTCAACAGTGTGACCCTTTTCGAAGTTATTGTATTTTACCTCCGACACAGTAGTAAACGTGCAATTATTTTTTTCATTATACCATAAAGGGATCACCAAACAGTTTTGTTAATGCATAAAATGTGACGAAAATGACACACTTTTGTTCCAGTCATGCGTAGAAGTGGTGACATGCTTCTTCCTATTTAATAATAATAATAATAATAATAATAATAATAATAATAATAATAATAATAATAATAATAATAATAATAATATTTATTGAGTCACATATACAATTACAATCGTGTATGACGAGTCAAATATGATATATTTAGAGGGAGTACAATCTCATACATCTTCTTGGGAATGAAGTTAGATTCATTTTTATTTTTATTGTCCACAAGCAAAACATGGATACATCTCAGCATTTGCTCAAAGGACCCGGGAAACTGGACAAAAAACCTGATCAAGACCTATTTATTTCTACCACTCTAACTGTGAAGTTTAAAACTGTCGTAGAAGGGTACACTTACGTGTTACTAAATAAGGAGTGAGATACGAAGCTCAGACAAATATAAGCTATTGATTTCTAATAAGCTAAGAACCACGAGGCAACGTGGTGGCACGTGGTATAATAACTTAATGTCAAAAGGATTGCAGTAAAGAAAGTAAGCAAATGTAATTTTAGAAAAAAACAGTGTACGGTGCTTGAAAAGACGATCGCTATTTGTAACATGAAAATACGGACAATTTACTGACTTTGGAAAATAAGAACAGATACCACAAGCATCACTAAATATATAGACATGTCCTGCTCAATCCGGACATGTGGTTACCCTACCTTGAGACCCTTCAATGCATAGTAAAGGTATTTGTCCCACGCCAAGTGTCTTCTTCCACCTCCCCCTGCCTCTCTTGCTTAGAAAGAGAAAAGAGAACAATCAGTAATACAAAAAAAAATTCTCGAATCGAGGTCAGGAAGAGAGAGGAACACAGCTGTCCATTACTAACTAGAATGTTTTTAACAGTTCTTACACATAGAATGTTCGAGAAGACGATCGAAACAACAAAGGCGATCCCGTTCTGCGATCATGTGATGATCGAGCAGTGCATGAGAAAACGAGGCAGGTGACAGGAGAAGGGTAGTGCGAGCTCGCCGATCAAACTTCACTTACTGAATCTACTCCTTCTGATGATGATTTTTTGAGATCGACTTCTGAGAGTGAAATTTTGTCCCACAACGCCCACGTGTAGCGAGAGAGGCGTCTAGTTGGCATTTTGTGAATCGCATATGTTGTCGTAGTACGTATTTTCTGCAGTAACACGCGCGAGCCCACTTGCTAATGACAACAATTACCATCAAGCACAGCTCGAATTTAGCGATTGTCGCTCGTAAGCTCCGGTGGCATATGATAGCCAGAGGCGTTCAAGTTATCCTTGGTTATGGCTGTGCCAGAAATTAATTTTTCGAACAACGCCATCATCATCTCTTACGATGTTCGTGCTTGGCTTTTTCTAAGTAACCTGCACGAGGAATCGCTTCATTTCAGCACTGCTGCAGACACTATGCTGAGAGATCTCCTGCACATGAGTACACATGACGTCGACACATCAGCGACTCCAGAACCAGGTCAGCCTAAAGGACCTTCAATTAACCTGATCGTTTGGTGCAATACATAATATTAGCGACCAACGCGTGTTTGTTATGAACTCATTAAAGAGCCGTTTCATGAATTGACGACCGAACATATTTTAACGTACAAGCCATTACAATATATGAACGTACACAGATTAAGTTGGTCTCAATATCGTTTAATGTTTAAAATTAAACAACATAAAGTGTTATAATAACACTTTTATTGTTCAGTAAATATGGATCATTAAAATTAGTTTAAAAAGTCTTATATACCACGGGCTTTAACCGGTTGTAATGATCGAGTGGCAACAAAATACCTAAGGATCGTTTTTTTAGTTATTGATGAAGTTATACAGTGAAAGTATTTTTCTCTTCTTTCAATACGTTGTGTTTTTTCTAGGGATCAGATGGTGTTAAATATAACATACCTCACCTGGCATTCTGAGGAGTAATTGATAAAAAAAAACTGCTGCGAAATTCATCGCAACCGGATGTACTGGCTCTCGGCCTAGGAGTTACATATCATGCTATTGTCGCCAATGCTTCTCTTAGGGTAAGAGATAAAACCACCCTAACTTTCAATTTTGTGCTACACACAACCTCAAACTATTTGAAAATAATTCACTTTCACTGTAAACAATGTAGACTAATACTCAACGCAGAAATGAAAAGTGTGGGTGCCGAAGTCAACCTAACCTATATTAGATATTACCAACTTATGACAATGAAAAATCATCTCAGAGTCTACATTTATTAGTAAACATTGTTTTCTAGAGCAGTTATTAAATACTTCTATTTTAACTATTTACGAATTATTTATGCTTGCATGCAGCTATTATTAATCTGCAGATGTAATAAATGGTCGAGTGTTTGACTAGCGATTGGCTCCCGTAGCAAAATAATAAAATTTTATCGAAGAGCAATTTTCACTGTGAAGATAGTTTAGTTATATTAAAAAGAAAGGAATTTTTTAAAAAATCAATTTTTTTAGAACTTTTGACAATTTATCTTGTAAGTAGCCAAATACAATTTCTGAAAGTTATACACCTTGGAATTGACGGGGCAAAGTTGATTTAGAATGATATGCATTGAAGAGAGCTAAACTTAGTATCTTAATTTTTATTAATAATGACTGCTTTCTGAATTGAATTGTATAAATTTAACCGTTGTCATTGCTGACAATTGATGTATGTAACACATCGAATAATTACAATTATATTCGAAATTCCCGCTCAGTGGTCTCACCAATATGGAACATTGAAATCCGACGATGACAGGAGTATGTATACTCTGAGTACAATCGACGCCACGCAATGATTGCTCCGAGCGTATAATTTTACTTTGATGTATGTTCGCGCCATTGTGCTATAAAACCACTGGTTGTCTTCCACTATTAGTGTGCGTTGTCTGTTTATTTTTGTAAAGTTTACGTTGTAAATGTGTGTAGAATAGAAAGGGTAGAAAATGGTGAAATTTTCAGTAGGAGACAAAGTATTCGCCAAAGTTCGCGGGTATCCTGCTTGGCCGGCTAGAGTTGAAGCTGTTGCTGATGCAACGCCAAACAAAGTGAAATATCATGTGTTCTTTTATGGCACTTTAGAAACTGCTGTATGCAAAAGCGAAGATATTTATCCATATGCCGAAAACAAAGAGAATTACGGAAAGCCGTCGAAACGAAGGCTTTTTAACGAAGGTCTAGCCCAAATAGAAGGCCGAGCTCCTGTTCCTGCACTTCCTCGCAGGAACAATGCTCAAAATGAAGGAGATGACGAGGAAGAAGAAGAGGGAACGTTGGTTATTGACGAAAACCCTTCAGCCAAGTACGGTAAGCCAATTAAGAGGAAGCGCGACAGTGATGCCACAGGTGACCATGGCGATGAAAAGTTGAATGTAAGCTTGCCTTCAACTTCAACAAGTGACGTTAAAAACAGACGTGGATCCCTTCCTGCTCAAAAACGCTTAAAGAAAGATAGCACTTCCTCAAGCGGAGATGCGAAAGGTAACGACCAATCCCCAACATCCAAACAAGAAATCGTAAGTCGCTCAGGCCGTAAAATCAAACCAAAGCGATTTGCAGATGAGGAGGCTTTTAACAGTGCCTCAGTTTCAGCACTTCCAGAAAACGCTAAAGAAGGTTCTGTAACTGGAGCAACAAACTTTCCTCTGAAAGGAGTAAATAAAAAGGATGCAGCAGCCAACTTGTTGATCAGGGTGAAGGAGCGGAGGAAAAAACAACTAGAATTTTGGAAGAAAGAATTAGAAATGCTGAAACAGGAGGAACGTTTGAAGATTGAATTCAATATTAAAAAACCAAATCCAGAGCAAGGTCTGACAATTTTAAATGAATTTCATCATATTGGTATTGAACCTCTGATGTTGAAGAAGCATCCTCATGTCTTGGAAACCATAAAAAAGCTTTGCAAATATGTTGGCAATCCCGTGGGATGGAAGTACTCCAAAGAGCAAAAGAAGTCATTTGCAGCTATTTGTGAAAAAGTTAAACAAAAGGCAAAGGTTATAATTGATGAATTTGCAGTAATGTTTAATGTAACTGATATAAGTACCTTTCACGATGTTTTCTTAGAAAGTGTTGCGGAATTGAAGAACAAAACAAACAAATGGGATCAGAATAAATTTCTAGCAATGGTAGAAGATCCTACTGCTAAGCAGGTTGAAAATAAAAAAACTGACGTTAAGAAGACAGATGCGGAATCGCGTTTCAGTAGCGATGCCGAAAATGGTTTACAAGAAGAAGAATGATAATGGCCTCTCAGTCATGGTCATGGGAGAATTTTTGGAGTCGCCAGTTTGGTAAGAACATTATCCTGTGCAATGATGATAGTATTTCCATGTCATTTGTTATTTTATATAAGAGATTTTGAGGAAGCAAAGCATCTCTTCCTCTTTGAAAAGAAGGGAAATGTGTGTTAATCAGTGACGGATTGCAAAATTTTGTACAGGATTTTTTGTGTGTGCACTGCTAAAACCCAAAGATTGTGGTGACATTAATACATATGTGGAGTATTATATGAGTTTGTACATTTTCACAAATTCATTTTGAAAATGTAACTATCATTAAACATAATGAAATATATGTTAAATATGCAATTGTTGTGAATTGAAAACATTCCCATGTTTGTTCATCAACATGTTAGTGTATATAAACTATATAGTGTAAAGTTCCAAAATGAAAATGTTTTACCAAATAATATGTGAACATGTAAAGATATGTACATGGTACTTGAAAAGGTTAGAAATTTTGATATGAAGAAAATAAATTATAATTTCCTACAGTGATTTGATTCCTAGGTTAATTGAAACAGGGTAGCACCAAAGAATTATGGAGTAATTGTGAATTGGATTGAAATGTTTTAAAGTAAATATGTGCATCATGAGCTGTTATTGGATGAACATTATGTCACTGGTTTAAAATTATATAACTCTCTGATTAAGAAATGAACTGTTCAAGAACTCTAATATTTTGGGGACCTTTTCGTGGTAATTTATTTTCAAAGTGCAGTACTAGGACATCAGAATTTATTACTATCCTGGAAAATCTAAATTCACAAGGTTCCTTTAAATTTCAAAATAATTTTTGTCATTTGTGATTTGAAAATTTATTTTATATCACTAAGAATTTAATTACAGATCCTATTTGTAAAGATTGCAAGTAAAAACAAAACAAAAAAAGCAATTGTGGCATCCCTTTTTATGATAATTTAACTGCGAGTGTAAATTGAGTGTACCAATATAACTTATTGGACTGACTTAGTTGCTTAATGACATTTTTTTTTCTCTCTCTTCCCATTTTGATTGAATATATTTACAAGTAATACTGACTTGTTAAGTATCTATAATTATTACTAGTATGGTCCTAACATTTTTACTGTATATACTTTTCTGAATTGGACATTCTATTTTAATAAAAGAGATATGTTTTTGCTTGAATCAAGTCAACCTTTTGCTATATGGACTGTATTGAAGTTAATTGCAATGTTCAGTTTCTCAAGTATGTAATACATTAGGCTTAATTTCTAACCTGAAAAATTTTATTTTTATCTTCAAGGAATTACATTCCTTTTGTTAGTTATATGTTCACTACTCTGTAATACCACAGAAGTACACAGATCTGTTTATTGTGAGGTTTTTCAAGTTTATATTATAATCTTTATTAATGTTTATATAACACAGTGTTAGTTACCAGTTTTATTGACATGAAGTTTGCATTTGCAATTTTCTCACTTTTATGTTCAACGCTGTTGGTAGTGCTTTGGCTTTATTTGATAGAAGAAGTGACTGAGATTTATGAAACCTTCCATGTGTAAAGAAATAGAAGTGATACGCCAGTGCAAATAGTTTTTTAGCTTTCTTTTTTCAATGTAAGTGTTTTGTACCAAAAATAAAAATAAATTTTATGTAACATGTTTTATTATCTGCTATGCCCATCCTGCTGGTAAAAAGTAACCTTTGTATATTTCTAGAGAGAGTATAATCTGTGAATGTTATGACATGCTACGCAATACATGGTTTCCACCATAAAGTGTGTAAAGTAAACAAAATCCATGAACGTAATGAAAAATGCGTCTGTGAGCTGTGTAATCAAAAGTGCGATCAATACTACCTAGGGAAGCGTTAAAAAAATTTGTAAAAATCTATTAGTAAACACAGTCTAAATAACAACAAATAACCTCATGGGTGAACCTTGCTTGTTTAATACTTATGAGTAATTAAAGTACTGCATAAACAGAAAAGCAAAATTTCATTCTTCGAGAGAGGTACAACCTACCACCACAAAAGTCAAAAATTGCACCTAGTTTCTGAATCTCTCTGTTTCTTTCAACTATTGTGTGATGTAAACTAATTGCAGAACTAAAAAAGAAAATCAATGTTTTCTTACAACTATCTGCATACAAAGACTAATGTCTCAAGAGTACTTAGTTGTTTTAATGCCTTTTGATTAAAAAATAAAATTTGTATTGATAGGCATTTATTTGAATGTAAAAGTTGTCTTTTATGTGACATTTTAAGAAGTTATAACTAAAGAAAATAAATTTAAATTATGACCTCTTCTAATGATTCAAAAATATTTCTGAGGTCGGTAACAAAAATTTGAAATATGGCCAACCTTCATGTTCTTGGGTATTCCAAGTCCTAATACTTTTTTTTATAGTTATGGTATATTCATAGTGGTCTTTAAAAAGAAAAATGCTGTTTGTAAACAAAAGACTTGACTCCACCTTATTAAATTTTTCTATGAGAAACAAAAAATTAAATGCACATCATCTAAACATTATTGTGAAATTTACGAGGTGCTAAATGCATGTATATTTTTATGTATCCACAATATCTTTTTTTTTTACTAAGAAACTCCAAAAAACTCGTCCAATGGCCTTTCTTTGAAATTCAGATGGGCCTGAAATCAACATGATAATTAGGAACACAATTTTCACATGAAATACACAAAAAAATTAAATATGGTGGAACCACTCATTTACAATCCTGTTTTCACCACTCAAATTCTCAGGGCCTATTTGATGCCAACCCTTGCACATTCTTGTGGTACTTAATTAAAATATAGTGTAGTATGTGTTGTGTACATCAAGGATCCATGGGTGATGGTTATGAGGGGATTCTCCTATTTTGTACACATCTTCCATTTGTGAAGCGTTTTTATTTGAAAAACACATTTGACATGATCATAAGCCTGCTTAAAACATCAAGTTTCCTTCATAAACAAAAAGTGAAAACCTGAAACATATCACTGTATAACAACTTCTGATTACTGAAATATTACTAGCTAACAGTAAGAGTACTATTAACAATTAGCTCTGAAGAAAATACTTCTGTCACAATATAAAACCAAATTTGATTATAATTACATAATTGTTCATTGGTTATTATCAGACTTTTTCATATGTGGAGTTTTCAAAGATTATCTGTATTTCTAAGTGTAGTACTTATTTTTAACTTTTATTTTATATTTATTAATTCTCCTGATGTAATATGTTGTCTCTGGCCAATTTACACAGATAATTCATTCACTTCGTATGAAAAGAGAACACCTGAAGTGAATGATTTAATTGTTATTAAAAATTGGCCAGTACTTATTTAAAGAATTTTCATATCTTTGCATATTTCAACATTTTATTAGCAAAATTACAGTGTGTGAATATCATGAATGAATTAGATTGGAACTTTTAGTACAATTTAAATGTTGAATTGGCCTTGGGCGTAGGTCTGCACAGAATTCCACAATATATCACAAGGTTTAAACTGGAGTCAGTTACTACTTAAGACGATGAGCACCATTTCAACGAATATTAAGAAATAAAAAGGAAAGTTGCACATGAGAACATTTTTTAATCAGCTTATTAAACAATAATGTTCAATCTCTTAAAATGCTATTATATAATTTACTAAAGCTGACACCTAAAGCAAAAACTAAGCTTTTGACTTCTATTATGACTTTTAAATATTTGATATTTACATTATTTATTCTATTTGAACTTTTTATTTTTCTACTCAAATTTTAGTCTTCAAATATTTATATTAAATATAGATTTTTAATATAATACTGACATGATCGTTATTGCCTGGAGAAGTATTTATTATAATCCATAATATGTATGTGCGTTTACAATATACATCCTGTTAATTCCTTTTGATTCTTAAGATAAAATTTATTGCGATAAAAAAATCCTTATTTTTGGAAGCATCAAATTCCAACTTTTATGCTCAATTATTAAATAATACCTTAAAAAATGTTTAGGCAGAGATCCATTTGAGATATAGGCCACTTCTCGCAAGAAGTTAAAGATGAAATTATTTTCCAGTTGGTAATTTAATTCAAGTGTTGATTACATTTGGACATCCTTGAATTGAATAATTCAACATTAGAAAACATAATTTTCACTGCTCTCAGATTTTCTTTCTTGATTAATTCATACTCGCTTTATTAGAAGAAAAATTCAATTTCCGATAAACATTTCTTAGCTCCACAAACATCCCAAACTTACTAGCAAAAATACACCAAAAAAGGTCAAACCCACATTTTAAAATGTACTTTGGATTAAACCAATTGTATCACTTCAATTATATCCATTTTCAACTGTACAACTTCACACAATTGTCACTAGAAATCCATTAATTTAATAGCAAAAATATTATTAATAACATTATTTATAAAGCAAAAATTAAATAAATTATTTTCTAGCACTCACTGGGAGACTTTGGTATTCCAATAATTGTTCTCCATGTTCAGGCAGTTCGTAAATTCCTTCAAGAAGGGCACATGGACAGATAATAGTCAAAAACTGTAATTGATTTGCATTTGTTAGGTTTTTATTACATGGGATTAAATTGATTCATATCAATTCTAGCCAAAAATTGCTTGTTTCTACCCGTATTCATTATTCAACTTAATATGTATGCAAGTCAGGGTAGGAATCCCAGAATTTTAGAAAACTCATACAAAATACTTCTCATGTCAAACCTTTTTTTAATGTTAACACTTTGTTAACATGAAAATGAAGAAAGGCATAATCAAATTCCTGCAAGCCTTTAAAGTTTGAACATGGACTGGTATACTTTCATCCCCACTACACTTGCTTTGAATCTTTGGAATTGATAAAGCATGTTCAGATGCGCTTAGGTTTCAGGCAAGAATGATAATATTATTCTTCAGACATTTTTGACAATTAAGACAAGGTAAAACAACTGCATCAATTAACCCCAGGGATAGATCTACCACATCATAGGAATGGCTGGTTCACACAATTGCTGAAAATAGAGATAAATAAAGTTTATTTTCTTCAGAAAAAATCTTTTATTACACTTCACGTAAAAAATTATCTCTAATATTTCTAAATACAGCTTATTCAATTAAAGAAAATTAACTTTTGTAGTAACAGGTACAAGACAACTTCTACATTTATGAAACTGGCTCAAAATAATGTATAATATGAATTCTTTTAAAAAAACGTAATACATGTCACTCAAAATGACTTTCTTTTCAGATCTAATGTCTGTGACAAGTATTCCATGAAACCAACTTCATATTCAGAATTAAATTTGCAGGATGTTAAATGCTCCAAAATATGGGTCAATAGCAGTTATTAGACATAAAATATAGAACATTTTGTGTAACACTCCATAAAATTCAACGTTCATGTTGGTTTTCTTCATTTTGCAGTCTAAAAAAAGAAACTTTTTTTAATTGTCATTAAAAAAACAAAAAACTATACCACTGAAGAAATTGCTCACACCAATTATTTCACTCTACTGCACAAGACAGCCACAATGAAAGAGCAAAGAAATTCTATCCGATCACACAAGGCCACAGTCTATTTATTCATAAAACTCATGAGGAATTATCACCAGTCTTTTGCCTCCTTTTAGTCCTTTGCATTTTCTTCATACAAGTTTATGAAGAGTACATACCTCAAAAACAGCACTCACAATCCTCAGTCTTGCTTATAACATTTTTAATATAGGATACAATAAACAATCTTTCATTTTAACAGAATATAAATGACAGTCTAAGAAACTCAAAACTACTGAAGAACACATTCTATCATCCAATATCATGGTTAGTATTTTCTCATATACAATTTTACTTTCATTCTTCCTCCATTCTTAAAGTTCAAGGAACTAATGATTTATTCAACCAGATCTGCATCTTCAGAAGTTGGATCACTTGAATCCAAATTATGATGTGAAGATTTCTCATAATTTTCTTCTTCTACTTCATCTCCAGAATGTGCCCTTTCCGAATCAGAATCTGCAGCTGCATTTGTTAGTGGACTGCTTCTTGTGCCACTTCCTTGGACAGTTCCATCAGACTCACCGTCCGACTGCTCTCTCTTGGAAGATTCGTCTGCTCGTGACTTTCGAGATTTGTTTTCCATTGTTGGGTCCACCACCAAAGCATAAATTTTTTTCATAGGCCAATCTTGAGTCTTCCTCTGAAAATCAGAGACATCATCAGCAAAAACTTGCCAAAAAGTGCGACCTTCTGGAACCGTGAACATTGCCTTGAATTTATTGTATACAAATTCTGATTTATTTCTAATTAAACCCGCTTGAGAGCTAAATTCTGCCTTCTGTTCTGCTGTAAAATTCCATGCATCAACATTTCCAACATATCTTCGAAGCCTTTTAATAGTTTCTACAATATGAGGATGTTTCTTGAGCATAAGAGGTTCAAGTGTCAAGTTACACATATCCTCCAATAAACCCAAACAATGTTCTGGATTTGCTTTCGAAAGGCTAAGATGACCTTTAATCAATGCATCCAATTCTACCATTCGAGCCTCACTTTTAAGCCATTTCAATCGGGCCTTTCTCTTTTCCATTGCTTCACTCCACACCATCATCTTCTTTTCTTCATCCTGGCGAACACGTCTTCCAGCTATCTGATTCTGAGCAGATTCAATATCTTCCCTGTGATCATGGCCCTTTTCTCCACTTCTTTCTTTCTCAGCCTCTGCATCACTGCCACTGTGTCGAGTGGAAGACTGACGTCTCTTGACACCTGCACCAAACGCATCCAAAGGCACGATTTTGGACACAGAAATACCTGCTTCAACAGGACTCGTACTTGTGTGGTCAAAAGTTTCTTCATCTGCAAATTTTTTTGGCTTTATTTTACGACCTGATCTACTTATAATTTCAGGTTTGTTAGGTGAAGAGGGGCCCTCCCCTGTCTTAGAATCTGGAGTGCTTGGGCCAGCACTACCATTCCCGCCAATAGTTTCACGGGGCAAACTCTCCCTTTTAGAGCGTTTAGGTACTGGAACAGATGAACGTTTGCGTACGATGGATCCATTGCTAACAGCGACAGGAAGTTTACCATCGTTTTCTTCAGTGCCACTTTCCCGTTTTCTCTTCATAGCCTTTTTCTCGCCGTATTTCACAGCAGGATTTTCGTCAATGACCAAATTTCCCTCGGCATCACTGTCTCCTTCTTCCCCAACTTTTCCATCATTTTTTGGCATTGTCACCGGAGCTCGTCCTTCGATTTGTTGAAGAGCTTCATTAAATCCTTTTCTTTTCAATGGTTTTCCGAATCTATCTTTGTTCTCTGCATAAAGATATAAATCTTCAGCCTTACATACTGCTGTTTCAGACGTGCCATAGAAAAATACATGATATTTCGTTTTGTTAGGAGTGGAATCTGCAACACCTTGAACCATTGCGGGCCAAGCAGGATAACCCCTAACTTTCGCAAATACTTTGGCGCCCTCAGAAAATACCTTCGCCATAACGATTCGTGAAGAACTGAACGTTCACCTAAAATTTGCAAAGATACTCTCAATACACAACCTCACTTCTGCTACGAGGAAATAGGTACACCATCAATTAGCACTGGATGCACTTCACATACGACTTCACATTACCGGTTTGGCGCGCGACATACCAACAACAAGTCACAATGGCGAATTTGCAAGAAGTTGGTGCAAAGAACGCGCACAATCAACTGTTAAAACGTGGCCAAAGAATAACATTTACCACAAACATATCCTTACAAAGTTGAGTACTGGTAGTTTCCAATTTTTCCGCTAGGATCCGATTTATTGACTAAAATGAACTTCACACTCGTAAAACGGCGTGACCAGCGCTGTTGCAGAATAAATTTTCACCGTATTTCATTTTTATCCCTAATGGTTCCAAGAACTATTTGACAATGACCTTGTTCCTTTATTGTCTAAATTTTTAAATTTATATCTTCAAACGCTTTTTCATAAATTTTAACTGCACATATCGTTTCGCAGGTTGACATTATTTCCTCCATCTTCAGATTCTAGACATACAAAAAAACGTATATGAGACTAATCAGGGCCTCCTTTAAAAAAGTAAAAGAGACTAACCAGGGTACACATATACATTTTTAATTAATAATGGACTAACATAATCCATTGACTTTTAACTTTATTTCAGGGACTAATATACAATCAAAAATTATTCTTGGCATATAAAAAACCGTATACGAGTCTAACACACAATAAATATTGTCATTCTTCATGTTCTCGCACACGTAAGTCGATTACTTCACGTTCGTGACGATGAGGGAGAAGAGCAATATTTTATTTAGTAATTTTATTTAGAAATATAATACATTTTAGGACATTCCTACCTCCTCTGAGAAATCACTCATTTATATTTAAGCCGGGCGAAGGTTAACTAAACTTTTTATTCTCTCTTTTTCATGTAATTTGTACTCCTAGTTTAAACGTGACTCAAATATTGGTCCCAAGTACCAAACGTGAGATCATGGAAGAATGCTTGGTTTTCATACCGAGTGCCGCTCGTGACATCGGGGCACAGTGTAATACTTAGGCCGGATTATAATGAAATGCCACTGTCATTCTTTTCACTTGAGAAAAAAAGACTTGCCTCAAATAATATTTACGAGCTGCAACAAATGTTCTCCATATGCGATGATTTAGGTCATCAAAATCCGCCCCTAGTAATAATATAGCACAGTACAGTAGCACAGCACCGTGGTAAATCACAGCCTCCTAAATATCTATCTGATGTCCTAAATATCGCTGTCTAAAAGGCTATGGGTAAATGCCCTATTGGTCAACGGCTAGCGATTCGCTCGACGACCAAGAAATAATACGTCGCCTTACCATTCGTAATACAGCATTGTTCTGTTAAATCTAACCAATAAGTGAATGTTTTAATATTTTAAATTTCCTTATCCATGTAACAAAACATGTGAAGTATAAGTTTTGAAAAATTTCTAAAGAAATTAATTGAACCTAATAAATAGTCCATAGAGAGTGAATAGTGGAAATGAGAAGAAACACAAGTATTTCTACACTTTCCATGCAAATATCTAGAAATGTAAGTAAATTAAGTAGTAAATAAGCGTATCTAGGAAGTAATAACAAATTTCCATCTTTTCTTTCTAGGTCTATTGGACAAGTAAAAAACATTATTCAGAGTTCTTTCTTTTCTTATTGATGCATTTAATTGTAGAACAGTGTGCCCCTTTCGACACACGCATTGTTATTAATGTCTTAACTGGAAACGTGTAAGAATTCAGTTGGAGCATATCAAATATGTTCCGATAGATCCCAAACGTAGGGTTAAAACTTTAGTTCTAGTGTAATTTTACGGGTTATTTAATCCCAGGATTATAAAACCACGTGATCAAGAATCAATACTCATTTTTTAATTTTGTAACCGGCACTTAATAAACAGTTTCACAAAATTTTGTAAAAATAAATGTTTGTACTTTAGTAACAGCTATTCGTAGTTTTACTTTACCACCACCAGGATCGCTATCTGTATGCGCTCTGAGACCTTGAAGGGACACTATGTTTTAATCGAAACATAATTTTGTATTTACTACCGCGGCGCTCGAATGAAATCTTCTCGTGTACATATGATGTAGGACAATAGTTCACTCATCAATTTTTGTTCGGTTTGCGCCCCATCAAGAACTACTTGAGCCACGTGCCCACACCACTGTCACTTCGTTTGAACTGCGAGAAGTCGCTGACCGCCAATGGGTTTCAAGCATGCAACTTGTAAGAAAGAAGCCCAGAATTTAAATGAAGAAAAATAAATTTTAATAGCATTTCAATTTATTTTGATGTAAAATGTGGCTTTTCTGCAATGTCATTACAATAATTGTATTGAATTATTGAATTGCAGAGAAATATTATTTACGTAGTGAAAAGGGACTCGATTTAAAACACTATAGTTAAGAGTGAATAGCGCTCAAAAAAAAAAATGAGGCATGAGACTTAACCCCCCCTCCCCAGAAGCCAATGCACACCTGCAGCCCAACGGAAAATGATCCTAGGTTCTTAAAAATCTCCTAATTCTGTCAATGTTTTGTTCTCTGTTCAGAAATGCAGGTAACTGCACTGAATGTGGACATCTAAAGCCGCCATGCAAGGATAATTGTTTATGAAACAAAGCATTCTAATAGTTAGGGTGGCTCACATAGAGGTGGGAGTAATAAACCAAATCTTAGATTGAGGTGACAAGTCTCATTAATTGCAATCAAGTGATTTATTTTGATTTTGATGGTCACGTGTTCTTGAGCAGGTAATCTATAGAAATCCTTAAGCATTTCTTAAGAAATTTGTTTTTGTTCCTTCGCCTATAGTATAAATGAGTTTACTCTATGGTATTGGGGTGTTAGGATATGAACAAGGAAAGAATTAGAAGTGTTCTATGTGCCTATAATCTTATTAGAGTCTGATTGTATGAACTTTGGCATAACACGTGCTAAGGTCCACCAACAGCGTGTCGGCCTTGCGTGCGTGGGTTAAGGGGTACGTGTGGTTAGCACATAGCCATCCCTACGCTGTATTCTGGTCTTCTCAACCTCAGAAGTGAACTTTCTTATCGTAACACAGCAACAGACACTGGGACATTACAAGGAAAGCGCAGAATTATTTTTTTTGCCCCGATCGGAAATTGAACCCGGTGTTGCGCTGTGGAAAGCGAGCACGCTGACCAGCGAAAGTCCTTACGATGTTAGGTTTAGGTTCTCAAACATTTGATAGTACCTAAGGACGAAAGTGGGATCAACTTTAGGTTCTGATTATTTTTAACCCTTTATATTGTTAATATACAAAACATGTCTTGACCTAAAAATCCTTGAAGCTAACAGCGTGAGTGCCGCCGCGAAACTCAAGAGTCTAGGCGGTCGTCAACAACTCTCCATATTGGTCGTGACGGACTGCAACCACGACCCTTCCCCCGCGCAGAAAGAGGGTGGGGGCTTGTACAAAGAGCGTCGGCAGCTAAGCGGACTCGCGTTGCTTCAGCGCCCCACGCGATCAATGGGCGAACCTTCTAAGGCCAACGGCCACCAAGCTCATGTCAACGCCATCTACACTTACACCAAAGTGAAGATGTAATTGGTCAAGTACACGCGCGTCATTGGCAAAAAACGAGATTAAGGCCATTCATCTGACTCTCTTTCCTACATAATGTGGTTTCGATCCACGGCCGTCTACAGTTCTGCCCAAAAGACTGTCTCACAGGATAACGCACTCCTCACATCTTTTCGCCGTATGGAATGAGATTGTCGGATGTCGCATATGAGCGTCGGATGATTGTCTGTTGGCACCATCAAATTTTGTCGAGTGTGTGTTTTAGAGAGGGAGGGTGAGCGCGCATGCTTCCGCGTGCGTCATATTTTATTTTATTAATGAAATCGTTAATGAACCCGGTCATTTTCTCAGTTGGTGTTAGCCACATTATTTTTCACTGAAAATGTCGGTATAAGCTTTATGGTCATCCATACCGACATAGATGCTCTTTAAATATATATTTACCGGTATAAAACAGTACAGGAGGGGGTATGAAAAATTCCAGCATACGACGGACCGCAAAAATACCATTGCGGTTCCTTTGCAATAAGGCTTATAGGACAAACGGGAATAAGGGTTACATGATAAAATGTTAGTTTTCACAAAAATGGTAAGTCAAAATTGGTACTTGTGTAAAACTGCAAAAAACTAATGTTAAGGACTTGAAATTGGTGTAGTCGAAGTTATCTGAGCAGTTGAATGAACCTCGAAACACCCCCTCAAAAAACACACACCAGCAACTCCAGTGTTCAATATTATTGTTCTATTACTAGAGAACTGAAAAAATGAAAAATGTATCGCTGGAATTATTTTGTGTTCCACTCCAACATATGAAGATAAATGCCAATTGTTGATTGCATCATGAAACATTCACTTTCATATTGAGCCAATATCACAAATCCAATATAAAAAAAACAAAACAACAACAACAATATAACATGAGAGAGTATTAGTGAGCCGTTACTGACTGGCATATTCACACGAGAACTGTTACTACACTCAGAGGCCTGGGTAAGTATGTCACGTGGTGCACAACTGAGACAATTGCGAGCAGAATGAAGATACACTTCACGCTTCGCAGAGATGGGCTTACACTGCGCACTTCCCAGAAGAACATCTGGTACGGAAAGATATCAAAGGCGGAAGTCGGAATCATCGCCTTGACCTCTCAGACACGTGTGCTTTGATTACGTCGCACATCTGTGCTCCGCACTCCCCTATACGCCCTATCTTCTCAACAAAGTGCCCGGAGCCCAGCGCTTGTTTTTTATTTGCGCAAAGAAACGCGATTTGAAGCCACGATGCAGGTTTTTCGGCTCCAAAATTTCAATGTAACGTTCAAACCCAAATGACAGCCCAGACTAGACAATAAAATGTAGATTCGCTACCAGTAGACGTTTAATGGGATTAGTTGAACTGAAAAAGATTTAAACGTATTGAAAACCAAGAGTAGAAAGAAATGTGTATACAACGAAAAAAGCACTTAAAAAGAAAAAAAAATTAAAAAGGCATTTACGCCCAAAAAATTCGCCAGAATGTTTAATTTTCCATAATTCATGCCTTTAAAATAGGCATTTTCCTAACCATCCGATGTCTTATATAGTATCGTAGGCTTTCACGTCCGGAGTCAATGGAAGATAAATTTCCGGGCTGGTAGGCCGTGGTCTAGTTGGACGAAACGTTTGGTCCAACAATGCCAACTAGACCACGGCCTACCAGCCCCGAAAACTCTATCTTCCATCCGATGTCTATTCACAATTCAACACGAAGCACGTCCGATCCAAGGTGTATCTCGCTAGCCCAATCCTCAAAGGACTCCGCCCTACGCATTCTCCACGCTCTGCCGGGAGCAAATCCATCGAAACGTTCGCCGTCGTCGAAGACTCGCCGGAGCAGGTGTTCGTCGGATTTGCCGTCGCCATCTGCCTCCGCAGGAACCTAAACCCTAACTACGCCCGAGCACACGCGAGGCGTTACATCAACACATTCCACAACTTCGTTCCGTACACTCAGAAACACCATACAATGAGAAATTATTCTGGGAATTTCAAACTGCCGTGTCGCAGGGTTCGACGATCCACTGTAACGTAATAACTCCTAAAAGAGTCTAGCAAAAGAGTGGGAAATTCGAATTTGCGCTACTAATAGAAAATTGAAAATGACCAAAAAGGTCACTCAAAGAACTGACGTTTTAAAACTATTTCATTACCAAAAAATCTCTATCAGCGATACTCTACAAAAGCACATACGTTGTAGAAATACGTTACTGTTAAGAAATATTTTCTCACAATTTCTGCCATTATTACAATTCAAATGTCATTTGATCTCGTATATACCCAAAGCGTGGGGAAAAAATCAAGTTTAAATGAAAATATGTCTGCGATTGATTTCAGTGTATTCACGAGTATATTCAATACGAGTATATATAGAAACGAAGGCGGTGTCCTACGTGGGCTACAACTGGCGGCGGCGACTGCTTCATTCAGTTTCTACCTTGATGTTATTTGAGATTCCGCGGGACAAAGCGATGGTGTTCTACGTAGGCGTCAGGAAGCGCGCAACTGCCACTGCATGGCGAGACCCGCCGTGCGGAAAAGCGATCAGTTTCATTAGCCGCTAGTGTCATACCGCTACCGAAAGGATCTCGTACATTATTAGGCTAGTAAACGGCCTTTGGAGAGTGGGGCGGTATTCCAACAAGCATGCAAGAGGCATTGCAGTGTCATGACTGCATTACACATACGAGACCGTGAACAATGTAGAAACAAGTATGGAAAGAGTGCGAACTCTGGAAATAGATCTAGAAAAAATACTATTGAAAAACGTACGGAGCAAAACAATTAAAAATGGTTGATTTTTTGAACCTCAAATAAAAAAATTAAATTTTCAGTTCTTTCTGTTAAACGTATTTTGCCGTATATGTATATAAGTAAAAAAATAATTGTAGAGTTGTATTTAATTTTGAGATCTTCGGATATAATGAACCAAAAATGGTCTCCACAAGTTCAGTGTATCCGGAGTGAGACTGAAATCATATACTATATGATAAAATTCTTCATATCTGCTCGTTTTAGCACGAATTACACGCTACTCCCATTGTCTGAACACGCAACGCTAAATACTCCGTACGTTTAAACATATTCAAAAAATTCTTTAAAATAGCGAGAACTGATGTGTCACTTTTTTTCGCGTCTTTCTCCGTCGGCCCGCTAGATGTCGCGACCATACTCGTAGTAGTGCTACGGCCGCGATTAAGCGACGTCTAGCGGACCGACAGGGAAAGACGCGAAAAACAATGATGTGCCACCGAAAAGTAGGGCCTTGAAGGGGGCAGAAAAATCTCAGAATAAAAGAAAACTTTTTCAATTAAGAACATTTCCTAATTTGAATTAATTGATTATAAAAGGTTAGTGAGAACGATACACGCGGTTTCGTGAAACATTATTAAATAATGAAACCAGCAAAATAATAAAATTCTTAAATCTTTATTAACAAAAACAACACAAAATGTCAAAACACAATGGAACATTTTTCCAGTGATTATAGCCATACAGTAATGCACCCAGTCAATATTCCTGTTACATAAACAAGAAAATAAAATGTTCCAAAGAATTTAAAATCTAACAAGAAGTATTCTTTCTTGAATGTACAAATGTAAATATACTCCAAAATTTAATCTGAGTACATTTCTGCAGCTATTTATGTTACAAACGAATGCCTGTTGTATTTTTAAAGAGCTACTTAGTTCTCCTAACTAGAAGCAGTCTTTACACTTCACTGACTCCAGGTCATAAGGAGGGCTTAATATGAATCCAAAAACAAATATGATAATAGATAGTTTACTGAAGACACTAATGCAATGGTAATTGGAAGTATACATCAAGACGTGCCCTGCTCAGCTTTGGGGTGCAGTTTAACACAACCACAAGACACTATATTTATCATATCAAGAAAAAATTCCTCACTCATCAGTTGGATAGTTAGCATTATCCATAAGCTCATCCATCTGAACCAGAGCCAAAATGACTTTACCCAATCATGGCCCCAATAGTTGCCTAACATATACCCCAAATATCATTGTAATTCAATGATATTAATGTATTCCTTCAGAATTTATGCATGCATTGCAATTTCTATTTTTGTCTGTAAGTGATGAAAAAACAAATATAACAGAGGGCATCACAACAGACATGAAGATAAAACATTTCATTTAAAGAGGAATGTTTTCCAAATTAAAAACAAACTACTGAATAACGCAACTCAACAAAAACAGCCTATAATTTATAAAATTGATCAATGTTGTTATATCAATTATATTTTCGGTCGTGAATAATCAGTTAAGATCAATTGGAGTATCTAGAAGGTTTAATCAAGCAATAAAAGAAATAATCCCTCCTTTTAACTAGAACCATTGAAATTGCATTTAAAAAAATGAAAATGTAAATAAAATTTTTGTTTACTCTAAGAAAAATTTTATCATATATTCATCAAAATAACTTTTATTCTTATTATACAACTCCTGTTTACACTGACAAAATAAGAACATTTACATCCATTCTTGACTAATATTACACATCACAATTAAATTGGAATTTGTCCACCAGTCACATCAGTAGTACCCCTGTGATCCTGGATACTGCCCATACCCTGTGGGGTAATTTTGGGGAGCAGCTTGGTACGGCTGTTGTGGATAGCCAGAGTTCATCATGTTCTGATCTGAGTATCCTGGATCAGGAGCGGCTGCATACCCCTGTTGAGGATATTGCTGGGGCTGATGGTGATGGTGTGGGTGGGTGTGGGGTCCGAAATTTTGTGGTGGTGGGGCCATTTGTTGTGTGGGTTGTGCCGGTGGCGGCTGCTGTTGTGGCAGCGACTGCGGTTGTTGCTGACTACTGTAGTAACCTCCGTCTTGATAACTGCTGCCCACATATCCTCCTTGAGAAGGTGGGTATCCCTGCATAGTGTACCCCTGGTTTGCATACTGACCCTGGTTCTGATATTGTCCTCCATAATTCCCACCTGGATCAGGGTAGTTTGAGTAATACTGGCTAGTGTTCATGTCCATGGCATTCTCCATTTGCATATTACCATGTTGGTTCATAGACCCAATATCAGAGTGACCTGAATCCTGAGGCTGCTGTAATGTAGTTAGATCAAACATTGGTTGCTTTACAGAGGATCCTGTGTAGTTAACAGAACAGCTTTCTGCCACTGCTGCTGTTTCTGTTTTGTGTGCTGAGGGACTTTCCTTTGAAGGGCTTTGCTTCTGGATAAACTTAGCTGGCAATTGGCCCATCAAATTAGCAATTATAGCTTTTGTTTCCTTGAGCAATAACCTTGGATCCTCTGCAGCCTTCTTCTTTTTCTTCTCCTCTTCTTTCTCTAGCTTAGCAGTTTGTTCCGCAATTGCTTTCTCCCTTTCTTTAACTTTTCTCGATGCTGCTGCATATATGTCCTCAAAACTGTAATCTTCATCATCTGAGTCATCCATTTTGACTTTCGTATTCTTCTCACTTTCAAATGTTCCAGCAACACTATCCCCCGAGGGGTTGATGCCACCTTCACGAAGGGAAAAGGGCGAGAGGCGATCTTTGTTAATACTACCTCCATGAATTGAACTTCCATCTGAACCTTTGTTCTCAAAAGAAGTATCACTCTTAATTGTAGGAGTCTTTCTTGTTGTCTGAAATTCTTTCTTGGGTGACTTAACTAACTGGCCTACATTTACAAACTGCCTTAACCTCTCCACTCTAGCAGGTTCCTTGGCTTCAACCTTCTTAAGATAAGATATCAAACCATACTGTTCTTCGGAAGGCAATTCTTTAAAATTTTGCAACAAAGTTTTCAGATCTTCCTCTGATAAATCGTCCATACTTTCAGTGCGCCCAGCAAATGACCCTCCTTTATGACTCAACCCATTCCCACTTGCTTTTGCTGAATCGTTATATGCAGACTGGAGGATTTGAAGGGCACTAGGACCTGTACTTGTGCGTCCCCCAGACGCAGATCGTGATACAGATGACAGGAGCTGCGTAAATGGAGACTCACCGCCAGGAGGCTGACCGGATGATTTGCCAGAGTCAGTGGAGTGTGATGTATCAACTGTGAGAGCTCCAGGGAGTTGTGTTGGGTGTGAGGGGAGATGGCTCTGCAGAGATTGATGATGGAGAAGTGGCTGCTGCTCTTGTCCTTGATGTTGTTGCTGCTGTTGTTGTTGCTGCTGCTGCTGCTGCTGCTGTTGTTGCTGTTGCTGCCTCACATATGCTGCAGCTGATATGGGTTCTTGGGAAGAAGCGGACGCTTGAGCCATGCCCACTACAGCATTAATAAGCGTTTCTAACTCTCCCTGTGACACATCACTTCTTCCTTGAGCAACCAAAGCCTCTGCTATTTGTTGTGCAATGGCTACCTTGTCAACCGCACCAATTCCAGGAACAACGACAGGTTCATTTACAGTAGGAAAGGCAGGGGTGGGAGCTACAGCTGTTCCTAGCAGTGAACTTGGAGTAACAGGTGAGATTAGGGAGGAACTACCAAGAACATTAGACGTCATTGGAGTGATCGAAAGAGGAGTTACAGAAGCCGCAACAGCAGCTGGAACTGGAGTGAGCTTCTCAGCCTTTGCTAACAGGCTGTTCACGCTTTCAATAGCAGAGCGAGTTGCCATCACCATCTGGCGCTCTACAATTCCAGCATACAACTGGCCTTTAAGTTTTTCACGTGCAGTCTCAAAGAGTGCTGTATGAGTCGCATCTGCTAACAGCTGTTCTGACGAGTCAACAGCAACTTTTTCCAGAGTCAATGCTTTGGCCAGCAGGGTATTGATCTGAGAATAAAGAATTTTAAAGAATTATCAATGCAAGCATTTACAAAATTCTTCAATTCTCATTAAAAACATTAAAATTCATTAGTTCATCTATTCAAGATTTTGTGAAAAAATAGCACCATTTTACTTCTAAGACAAAATCCATTCCAGTAAAAGATGATATAATTGAAGGGGTCAGTGCTAACTCACATGTCTGTAATTTTTGTCAGCCAGAGGAAAAGCAGACTTAGTTAAATAAGATGCAGCTTATTATGTATATAAACTTCGGGTTGTATACATTGTATTTCAATTGTAATATTTCTTTTAAGGTGAAATTCCAGGACCTTTGGTTTCAATTTATTAAATAATGGTTAGCATTATGTTCTCCTGACCCCTTCAATTATTATATATTTTTTCTTTGTGTATTAAGATTTTTTTTCAAAATTTTTATCGCAATAATTCACATACACAAGAACAATCCGAAACAAAAACGTAACATACATCGACGACAAGAAGAAAGGTTCTCAACTATCGCAAAAAGCATATGGTAAAAAGTTTCAAGTACAGTAAAACCTGTCACATTGGGCACATTCTGGAGGATGTGGCGAAATCCTTCTTTGAAAGTAAAATATTGTTGTTTATTGATGCTTCAGTCATGCAGGTCTCAATCTCTCACTTTCCACAATTAATTTCTTCCACTAAACTTAACAACCTGAACAACCAACACATAAACAAATTGTAGTCTGTGAAAACTACTCTAGTAAAAGCAGTTAATCAGCACACATATTAACATTGATACCTATAATTGAATTACATGGACCTAGTGAAAAATTTAATCATTTCAATTATACTGGGGAAATTTGGAGATAACGAAAATTACAATTGTGTACGAGTCAGATTTAAAACATAATATTCAATAACTTCAAATTGTTCTAAGCATTAATCACCTCTGGTAGCTGAATCCCGGTCACCTGATTGCTTGGTTGCTTTAACCATTAACCTACAGAAACCAGCAAACCTAGCAACGTTGTAGTCTCACTAGGTTAAAAAAATAAGAAACGTGGATTATTCTTTAAAAACATAACTTCATTCTGTCTTAGGTTTACTACAGAATTAGTCACAAACTTTCTAATATTAAAGCACTCGTACTGCTACTCTACTGATTTTCATTAGAGAGTGTGTGCATGCTATAGTATTATCTATCTGTGTATGCGCATGCACTAAAGTGATGCCAAACTTCAACAACACATGTGCAGAAGATCAAGAGTGTTTTAATGTTCAAGAGTGTAAAAACTCTGTATTTCCTTTAGGAAATAAATTCCCATTATATTAACGTATGAAATATTAGAAGGAAAAACAACAACAACAACAACAAGAACATATGCTAACCCACAAAAAACAATTTTCATTAGGATCGGAGAGACAAAAACAGCTTACCTGAGGGCCCAGAGAACCAAGCTGATTTTCAAGTGCTGTGAGCAATCGCAAAGCATGAACTACACCTCTGGGACCATCGTTCGGCTCATAAATACCACCACGATGTGTTCCCATGCTAGATCTTCCTCCACGACCTCGCCCAGAATTTCCTCGGCCCTTTGCCCACCATTTGCCTCCATGCGAAGGGCTTAGGTCTGCATGGGAGCTACTCTTGGGACCTTCACTCTCCTCCCAAGGGCTTGGTGATCGCTGGCCAGAGGGCGTTGCTCCTGATTCTTTGATATCTGATCCTGTCAGGGCTTTCCATGTGTTTTTAATATCAGCAACAGTTATATCTCTACGTGACTGTTTTTCATCCTAAAAGAGATACAGGGAAATATAATTAAAATAATTTACTGCCAGTGGTTGTCACCTGAACAATATGATCACAAATATCATTGTACAATCTGCGTTTAAGGTTATTTTCAGCTGTAACTTGGAGCAAGTATCAGGATTAAGGCCTGTTAGTGCTGATCTAAAGACAGTTAAGGTTGGTACAGGTGGTAAAAACATGCATGCAATTTTGTACCTGAAAATCAATTTGTGTATATGGATGAATGTCTGAATGGAAGTATGTGTCATACTTAACTGACAGATTAAAAGCTTTTGAGCTGAAATAAATATATCACAGGGAAGATCTAGTTGTACTATCTGGAGATCATTAACATACTTTAATTTTTTAACTCTTTACATGAAACCCCGATGACATTTTCAATATTTCCTTGAAAATGGCTGATTTCCCCCCCCCCTTAAATTATTTGCTTATACAGAAGAAAGTACATTTATATTCAGGGAAAGTTCCCATTTTTATTAAACCCTCTGACATTCAGAAAATTATGTATATAAAACACCAAAGGTCAGAAAGAAAAAAGTTAGTTTTGTTCACTGAGCATTCCACTCAACCAACTTCCACGATTTGTGCTTCATAAGAAAGGTAATGATACATCATATTATTAACTGTTTTCATAAACAAAACTATAGAATATTAAAATTAATAGACTGAATACTTATCTGCCATCACCTGTTCACTATTTCATTGTGAGAGTTTTAATGAATTTATTGAAAGCATTCAGCATTTCCTCCTTGAATAAACATGTGAATGTAAGGTGGTTGTTTGAGAAACTGTAGGGTTCATCCATAAATTACATAACACTTACGAAGAAGCGAGGGGGTTTGAGGCAGCATTACGTTGCATTATGTATGGGTAGGGGGTTCGTAATTTAGTGTTATGTAATACTGAAATTAATTTTTAAAATATTTCAATATTTGCTGAAATAATTCCTTTTATTCAGCCTAACACTGATATGTAAAAAATATTGACAAATTAAATTAAAAATATAACACATTAAAAAGTTATTTGTATAAAATGTTACAATTGAAATATTTTTTTCACGAATGACTTATTGATTGAATCTTTAAATTACAAAGAAAGTTTTCAAAAGTGATCTTAGTTAATCTAGAACACAATTACACCGGCGCAGTAACTTAGGGCCCCTGCGTCATTCAAGACAGCATGTGCATGGATTGTTGTAAAAAACGTTATCTTTGTATGTTCCAGTCATTCAAAAATTTGTTCCTAATCTTGTTAGGTGTAATCCAGATCGCCAAATAATTCTGATTTTAATTTTCATCAATTTTAACATGTAATACAAAGAAAATCAATACAAATTGTTATGGCCTGGTAATTTATTTTTACTTATCGAAAATAGGGGAGTCTTTTGCAAGTGTTGAGTAATTTTTGAGGGAGGGTCCAAATACGCAAGTGAATGTGAATACATCTCACCTTGCCGCTGGAGGTGGGGGAGAGCACGATGACGTCGTCGCCGGCCCTGTCGCCGTCCCTGTCGTAGTCGCGGTCGCGGAGGCCGCGCTTGCGGCCGGGGCCCAGCCCGCCCGGCCCCGGCGCCGCGCCCGCCTCGCCCTCCTCGGGCAGCCCCAGGCGCACGCGGCACTCGTCCTTCTTGCCCTTGAGCTCCTCGTCGTACATCTCGCGCATGCGCCGGTTCCAGTACTGGATCCACTCGGGCTTGAAGTCGTGCTTGGCCGGGTTCTTGCCCTCGGCCTGCAGCTCCTTGTAGCGCCGGTTCCAGAACTTCTTCCACTCGTCCGGGTACATGGGGTGCTTCTCTGGGTTCTTTTCGTGGAACTTGAGCTTGTCGATCATGTCGCGGTCGATGCGGTCGGCCTCCTCGCGAACTTCTGGCCAAGCGCAGCGCCGCGCCTTCGCTGGGGTCGGGTGGCGCCCTTCTTGGCGGTCCGCGGCGTGCGGCAGGAGAGGGCGCTGGGCTGTTCGCGGCTGGGGCGACGCGCCGCGCTTGCGGTAGGGCGGCGGCGACGCGTGGCGGCCGGCGCGGCGGGTGCGCGCGAAGCGGCGAGCGCGTACCGTGAGCGGGACCGGCTGCGCGAGTGCGGCTGCGTGCGGGCGCCGAGCGGGGCCCGCGAGCGGGGCCGGGAGCGGGGCCGGGAGCGGGCGGGCGGAGCGGGGCCGGGAAAGCGCGGGCGGGAGCGGGGCCGGGAGCTCGCGGGCGCGGGCCGCGCCCGCGCGGGGCGAGCGGGAGCGCGAAGGGCGCCGCGTGCGGGAGCGGGAGAGGGAGGCGGGAGCGAGAGCGGGAGCGGGGGTGTGCGAGCGGTGAGCTGCGGCCGGGGCCGGGGCCGGGGCCGCGCCGCGGGCAGCGGGAGGCGCGTGCTGGCCGCAGCGGGCCGCGCGGGTGGCGGGAGCGGGAGCGGGGTGGCCGCCCTCGCCGTCGCCCCTGTCGCCGCCGGCGCCGCCGCCGCGCGCTCCCGTGGGGCTCCACGCCCCCCGGCCCCGCCCGCGCCCCGCGGCCCCGCCGCGCCCCTCGCCCGCGCCCGCGCTCCGCGCCGGGCGCCCCGTAGTGCAGCGGGAAGGCCTTGCGCGAGCGCGCGGGCGGCGAGCGGGAGCGCGAGCGCGAGCGCGAGCGCGGCGACTTGGAGCGCGACAGCGACAGGCTGGACGACGAGATGGACGAGATGGAGGACAGCGACTTGGTGTCGAGCGGGGGGTTCTTGTCCGCGCCCGCCGCAGCGCCGCCGCCGCCGCCGTTCTTCTGGGCTGCGTCCCCTGGGCAAGAGCAAACAGCGCCGCTCAGCACGCGCGCGCGGGCAGAGCGCGGCCGGCAGCGGCGCAGCGCGTGTACTCCCTGGCTCCGGCGTCCGTGGCTGCCCCCACGCAGAGCCAACCAGGAACATTGCTACGATTTGGCGACTCCGGTTAGAGGCTAGTTCCTCGCGAACCCGTGGGTTGCGCGCGAGTCGACTTAGGTATACGATGGCGATCAAACGAAAACGTCACGTACAGAACTATTTTTCAGAATGTTAAACATTGATGTCTCCAGTTCGAGTATCCCCGTTCGCCTATTTCTAACAGTGCTACGCGTGCGAGATTCCGGCTCTATTCATTCTCACAAAGCGCTTGCCTCGCTGTACGAAAAAGACGATATATAAGAGCTAGCTCGAAATTATTTTTCTCCAACCGTTCTTTCAATCGACTCGCAATCGTCCGTGATGGTCAGGCCTCACCCAAACCGGTCGCAACGCCATTGGCGTAAACGCAACTCTCTTGAATGGAGTCAACCCCTCCATTCTCTTAGGTCCAGAGGCACCGCGTCTCGTGCAGTGTCGCGGATTCCTTTGAGGACTTCCGACCAATCCCCGACCAAAACCAACACACTCAAGCCAAGAACGTCAACTATTTACAACACGAATACAATCGCGTATTCGTTTACAAAAATAAAAAAAATTAAGTCCCGGTAAATTACGTTTTTTGAAAGTGTCACATTCGTAATAATTTTATTTTAGTTTTCGTTGCACTCGCACAAAAAGAGCGCCAACAATATTCGAAAGGAATCAAGCCGAGTGGCCGACCTGGAAGGCCGAGGTGACTGCTTCGGTCCGAAGGGTCGCAGACCCGAGATCCGCCTTGGGCATCGCTGTTCGCCCGTTCTGCTGGCCACACATCAGAGGACTCCGCCAGCCTCATGGTCGAGAACGCGTACCATCCGAACGTAAAGGGTAACCGGCCGTCGGCTCGACAAAAGCCATAGGCGAAAATTAGGCTGATAGACTCCTATTATACCGTACAGATTTAATCTATTTCGAGGAAACATGTTCGCAGGTCTTCTATCTTAAGTAAAACTATGCAGAATCGGCATTCGCCGAAGAGAAACTTCACCACAATGACTTACCAGCCACAAAGATGATTATTCTCACTCTGGTAATTTCTGCTAAAACCTCTGCGAGGGCAAATAATTTCAACACAGCTAAAACTAACGAAAAAATATTTTACGTCTTCTTTGTCACAAGCGCGCATCACTCTTGTATGATTTGCAGATCCAACAGCAACGGGCTGTCGGAAACCATAATTTTCAAAATGCAGCAACTTGCTTTCATTTTTACCAAACAGCAGCGCGGACAACTCGCAACTCGGCACTCTCAATCGGCATCAGGTTCCCAATACGGACGCAAGCGCTCTTTTTAAAATGGCAGAAAACAAATTAGAAGAGCTTCGACAAGTCTGCAGTAAAAAGTACTCTTCAATTCTTCTCAGTCAGTGAACGAAGAAAATATTGAGCGAAACGTCGGCCGGGAACGTTATGAAACGAAGAGAAATCAGAGTAACAGAAAAGTTAAAAACTCGAGACTGCCAAACTTTAACCTAAATAGGAAAATAACACAATAGTAATAAATCAATAATTTTAATTGTGGGTTTTAATTCATTAAGGAATGAGAATGGTTTACACAAAATATTATTAACACAGCGAGGACTTTGTGCAAAATCACCCCGAAGGAGGTAGACAATCGCAAAAATAGGGTACTCATTCCTTTTTCTCTCGACAATAAGTATCTCTTTTCTAAACGTAAAACCAAGCGAAACATATAAAACATAATTTCGTAATTACACCATTCACGTCAATATTGTGAGCAATGCCTTTTGATTCTGTAAGCGAATCAAAGAAATAAAGTACAACGCTTTCTCTGATTCTCGCATGACAAATTATCGATTATACACAAGAAATTGCAAGACAAAATCTGTGAGAAAGGTGCAGGCTATCAACCCAATAATGTACATCAATAACAGCGAAAACATAATGAAATGAAAGTAGTACGCTTGTCTGGAATCACGTATAAAATTAACGAAAGCGGATAAGTAAGTTTATGAGAGGATGCCTAAAAATTAACAGGATACAGATATTCAATTCGCAATTAGTATGCACAGTATAGGTGTCTAGAAAATAAATAATATTTGGTTTACTTACCAACTGTCCTAGAATTATCCACAAAACGTTTGATATTGATAAAAAATTACAATATATAACACCAACCGCAAAAAATTTATTAGACGCTGCTTGTTTGACGTTTAAAACAGAAGCATTTCCTCCAAATGAATTAGGTTATCAACCCGAGATTTTATACCAAAATTTGGGGACAATTAAATTGACATAGTGGATAAACAAAATATAATCTCGTCTCGTTGCAATTAACCTCGCGAGTTTCCTGGAACCACAATGTGTCACACATTCACAATTAATCTAAAAAATATCTGTTCCGAAGCACTTCAGATTCATACTTATTCTTACCACAGTCACCCAAATAAGTTGAAAAGATAATCTGCAAGGTTTATGTTATTCACGATATGACCTTGGTACTTTGAAACAAACTTTAGGATAATTTGAGGTAAACAGGTTCTTCTGATTTAACTTTTTTACGGAGAATCATTCCAGACTTCATACATACATTTTGGCATTTTGTATATCACATTTTTAAATGCTCGCTATTTCCATTATTAAAGAAGCAAAGCGGGTCTAAAACCTAAATGTCAGACATCTGGCAACCCTACCGGATAACACCTGCTGTGTGGGATTCCGATGGTCTACTGTTTTTGAAGCAAAATAAGGGAAAATATCTGTCTAAATGGCCTGTGTCACGTTATGCCAAGCATTCACTAGCACAAGCCCAAATACGGTGTCTGACGTCAGTTCAGCACACCCCTTCTTGAGACTGCCCATACATTCAGCAGTCAAGCACAAGTGAACAAGAATGACAATTTGCATCTTGTGTGAGCCGGAATCTATTGATCCAGGACCCGACTTCACCTACCCGAGGTGGTGACAATTATTTTTCAAAAAATAAAAATTCGGAATGCCCTGTGTTAATCTAAAGATACTAAATGGAGTATGATGTTTCCTGCCTTAACCACTTGCATCAAGGCACAGCACAGCTAGCGCCCTTACACATTCGTTTTCATGTACACACCGGCACTCCGTCATTCCACGAGTAACGTCAAATTGACACAGTTGTATTACAGATTTGATAACAATAAACATTATTTGTTCTAATCATTGCATCTTGTTTACACATCTGCTTCTGACAAAGTTTAAAATCACTCTAAATTGAAAATAAGCACACGACAGACAACTGTTGCAGAATAATTGGAGAGAAGCTCTCCATATACAAAAATAGTGCAACGGAGAGAAATTAAGAAAATTATCAGTAAAGAATAGTTGCAGATCATACTCCCCTTGGAACAGCAATGAGCCGAAAGCAGAGGACTTGAATTACTACATTTATTTTTCACTGATTCTGTACATTGTCCAACTCTTGAAATCAGCTTCCTTAAGATTTTTTTCTTTCTCGCAAAATATTCTGACAATTCACACATTTAAAGAATAATCCAAAAACCTTTTCACTTTGACACAACCCCCAGAGAGACTCTGGTCATGCCTGTTTCAATTCCACCTCACCTTTCACAAAATACGGAACCGAGCACACCATAACCCCTTCTCTTAATGTAGGCACAACGGCCAGAACTGAGAATTTTCTCAAAGTTGAGTATACGATTGAATTTCCTTTCACTTTCCTTGTTAAGGAAATACGACACTTCCTTTTCCCTGTTATCTTTCATCTTCTTGGATATCAAATGCCAAATGATACTCGAAACCAGATACATGTCCCAAAGTCCCAATCTGTTGCATCTACTTTTTTTTCTTCTTCTTTCTTTCGTATTCCTTTACTTCTGAAATAAGATACCTACAAATTTACATTAAGCAGCAACCATGAAATTTCTCTTAACTCGTGACATTACATACTGCACAAACTGAACCCTTTCATTGAACCCTTCATAGAAGAAGCACAGACTCCAAGAGGAAGTCAAACAATTTCTTTTCAGGAGGGGATACTTGTGTCCTGCTCAGATATTTCCAGCTCCGTAGTTGCCAGATACAGCGTAAGAACCAAACCACTGGTCTCTTTTGATCAACCCCAATAAAGAAGCTTAAATGGCTGAAAGAAACTTCTTTCAACTCCAATAGCTCTCTCCACGCCCTACAAGCATCCAAAACTCATACACACACTTTTGGCCAAAACAAAATACCCTTAAAGCAAGGAGAAAAATTGAAATAAATTGCAAACCGATTTATAGATAAGATCGCTGCCCCTATTGCAAATCAAACTGAATAATGAAGCAATTTGTAAGAACCTTGGACAAAATTGAACCTTGTTCAAATATTTCCATTGTTTGAATTTTTCAAAGCATACATCAAAAAAACACTGTCAACAGTCTTTTCCACAATCTGGAAATGGCAAGAAACATTTATTTTTTCGTTGCTCTTTTATCCTTTCAAATTATTAAATAAAATATATAACAAGTGAACATCACTCGGCTGTGAAATGTTCTAAAATGTAATTTCACTTGACAACTAAAAACACACGTAACCCTAATATGAAGGACACAATATTGAATAAGAAATTTAATCAAAAAGAAGCATTTCAAAATTCAATTTCTTTAATCCTTCCTTCTTTGATTATAGAATACAACAGCTGGGTGTAAACAAAGTAAAAGTAGACCCAGCTCAGCAGCAAGTTTGCCGATGCAAAGAAACCAGGCAACATTTGAGCAAATACAATTGCGCAATAGCCTTGTAAAACCCCACTGAGAAAAGGTCTACATGTAGGCTTCGTAGTTAGTGAAAAACTGTAAGTTTTGCACTTGGTTATGACATTTCTGCTCCCTGGAGCACAACTCACTTGCAAGATATTTTGGTGAAACTATACCCTTGATAGAGCATCTCTCATAAAAAAATTTTTTTTTGGTCAAATGAAACTAGAATTCAAAATTATTGTTTCCTTCTCAACACAACAAATGCTTTGGAAATCTCCAGGTGTTCTCTCAATACCTAAAAATATATACTTTCAAATATAAAATAAACAATTTAATATATCAATTCATTATTTCGTAAAATTATTAACCTGCCAAGATACTAGAATCCTACCAGTTTCCTTGGCAGATGACATAACCCACTGCTCAATTTCACTCAACACATTTAGGCAAGCAAGTGTACTTTCTTCTAGCCAACTTACTTCACAACTTGCTTACATCTACTCAGCTTGATCTAAGTAAAATGACACTTATAATACCTTTCCTATTTGTGAACATTTTATACAAAACTTTTCTCATAAAACTATCTTTTTACAACTAGCCTACGATGTAACCAAAACACTAATTCATATGTGTAGTCGATTTTCCCCAATTTCGTAGAACTTCAGACACTTCTACAGTCTGCTTTAGTTATACACCATTTTAAATAAAAAAGTTCTAACAGAAAACAAACAGAACGGAGTCTATTACATATTCAAACCTCCGCAATGCCTGTGACAAAGTACTGAAGTCTAAGATATTAATGCTCACCTGAATTTGCATTTTCCTTCTGCATAGCCTCATTAGCAGCTTTCTCCATTTCTGCCAATTTCTTGAACACATTTTCTTCTTCAAGAGCCGAGTCATCTTCTGTGCGGCCTCGGAGCCGACTGCGGTCACAGGTTATCTTCCCACGGTTAAAGACAGTTCCAGTAGACGAGCTACATGGAGAAAAATTAGGACAGAATCATAACATCAATACATTATTTCTATGAACACTACACAAATCTCAATTCCACAAAAATGTTTCTGCACCGTCAATTACAATTATTGTAAGTAATATATCTTATCCCAAAGAGTAGAGTGGAAATTGCATTCATGACTACTTAGATTAAGTAACTTTCTGAGAAATTAACTCTTATGATGCCAGAATGTCCAGGCCTACTGCTGTAAAAACTGCCACAGAGACCTTTAGGACAAAGCTGATTCAAAAGATCTTCATTTTTTTTTTAACAGTAGGAAAAATATAAGATTGCCTCAAACTATCCAAGATTTGAGGAGTCTTTCAAAAAATAATAGTTAATGCAATTTTTTGTCTATTTTTACGTTCTCGTACACGTACGTATATACAGAGTAATATACATACTATAGAGAAAGTTCTGTAATGCTGTGGAAAATTGATTTTGAGATGTCAATAGAATTACATTTTTGGGGTCCCCTGATACCGAAAAAGTGTTTATTTGCTTTTTTCCCCAACCTAATCTTTCTAAACTACAAAATTGACGATAGAGATTTTTCCTTAGGAAATTTACGGTCTGTTAGTTAGTTTTGTAAGGTGGGGTCCAGATAATCGATATGCCATATGTGCCTATCAGCACAATAAGGCTATTATAGAAGAGTTGGCATTGAATAGTTGCATTGCTGTTCTAAGTGACATTTGTCTTATGTCATTCATGCTGTGGACTGCAACTTGTTGTTCTGAAGGTGTGTTGTGAAGGCTTGAAAACATTATAAAACCTATTACAATAGCATTCAGAGAAATGTGAAATAAATTGAATGCTAAAATAGTTTTGCACAAATGTGAACCCCAAATTTTTTAAATTGGATGATTTTAAATTGGTAAATTTACATTTAAGATATCCATATAATATATATATGTGTAAGTATTTATAATGAGAGTGACATAATTAAACCACAACTAAAAACTAATGTTTTAACAAAATTTACAGATTTAATTAATTCTAACAATATAATTCACAAAAACCCACATTCTCTCAAGATATCAACTTACGGTTCTTGCTTCGAAGGTTCTGCTTCTGCCTTAGCCTCTGAAAATATAAAGTTAAAATTAAAACTCAATCATTACAAAAACTACATAATTTGAAAGTGATAGTTTATGTACATACCCTCCTCAATTAGAGCATCAATTACTGCAGGATCCAGAAGTTCAACCAGTGTGTCTCCAGGAGATTCACTGCACACAAGAATTAAATACTGTTCACAAATATTACTATCAGCTTCTCTTAGTTTTAGTCACAGGCATTGAGATTCCCATTACCTTATCCTAAACAAAAATCTGGTGCTCACAAATCTGATCTAAAAATCTCTATTCTAGGTCTCGTAGAAAATGGGTACCAATGGACAAAGCAAAACAAATTTTTAAACAATGAGTTTGTCACAAATTTAATGGAAGATACAACCACAATAAATGAATAAATAACAAAACAATTCTATCTTTTATGACATAACTGTTTTTAAAACTTGATAAGAACTCTAAAACCTTCACTAAAATTCATATAATTTTTTTCATTTTAAAAAATCACTCTGCCAGTTTTATGCGATATGAAAAATATGTAGGCCACATTTATTGAAGGTTCAGGCCACCAACCTACTGACTGATACTAAAGCAGTTTATCATTGTGAAAGGATATATTGCACAGAGAATTAAATTATTTCGTCAGTGCTGGAGTACCAGCCAATAATGCTTCAAAAATGTCAGTTCAGTGTAACGTGTTAGGGAGAGATTTTAAATATAATTTCGTTTTTTTTTTTCTGATCTCTAAAAATAATACTGTAAAAAACTGAAAATCATGTTTAGAAACATGGGAAAATACGAAAAACAAGAAACAATTGAAAATGAGGGCAAAGTAGTAAAAATATGCTTAAAAGATGGGAAATCATACATTCAGGGAACTTAAAAATGAGGTTATATAGTATAACAATTCCTGTCAAAACTGTTGAGATATTTAAATTACACTCTTTGATATCATTATTTAATTCTGGTTTTCTTTAATGTCAGTGCAGGCAATCTGAATAGATGTTTTAGTATCTAATTTCAAGACCTTCATTAAGAAACATCACTGTATGAAACGAGTAGCAGCAGTTTGCATTGGTTGGTATTTCTCAGAGCAAAAAATTGAATATTTGAATAACTCGTAGTGGTCCCAATGAGTCCCAAATGTGCACAGGGAGTAACTGGTCTTGGCTTCGGGAAGCAAAAACACTGAGTTCTGCCTTAGACCAATCTCTATTTTTCTTTTTGAGTTGGAAGGATATCAATATCAGGGTATCAAGCAGAACATCTTGGCTAAACGGACCGGATGAACCACCATGCCTAAGTGGAACTCACACCCACAACCCATTGGCTCAAGATCACCACTTGCTCGCTAATAATCTCAGCAGCTCAGCCTCTTAACAAAACAAATAAGGAAAATTCTAATATTTCTGAAACGTTTTGCTAACTCGTAGATTTTCATAAATTTAGACTATAATTGCTTTAAAAGTTTTCTTCCAATACCCAAAATGAGGATCCTTTTCAATTTGGGCTTTTATTTGATTACGTTGAACTTCAAATATGTCTCGTTCAACCACAGAAGGCTGCAATCGGCCAAACCTTTCTTCAATCTTGGAACAAACATGATTTAGTGCCAAATGAATAATCTTCTTACAATCTTTTCGAGACTGAAATTCTGTGGCTAACATTTTACTGAGTGTTGGAAAGTGAATTCCCTAAAACAAAAAAGAAAGATTAATAGAACTTTCATGACAGTGTAAATGTAAAAAGAAACATGAAGATACACTCCTCACATTCCCCACCTCACACACAATAGACGAGCTGAATATAATGAATCTCCACTTATGTTTCACAAAAATGAGTAAATTTCCAATGTAATGTCAAAAGATTACAAACATCACATGCTTATTGCTATATGAGAAACACTGAAATAATTTTTTTAATTAAACAAGTTCATAATATGGGAGCCAGAAAAAATGTCATATATAGACCTCATGTTTAGACCCTTCGGCAACAACTAGCACTACCCTCTCATTAGTAATTGTTTTAAAGGTCTCAAAAGACCATCTTACTAGCGCATTTGTATTCCACATGATACCAACGTTCCCAGAGAGCTACATCATGGTGCCCTAATACATGCGATGATTGTGCTCTTTGTTAATGTACATTATCCAGGCATGTTACATAGTTGACAAGTTTCACAACTTAAATACTCACAATGTATTTAGATCGATGGTTGAAGCTTGTCATATGTGCCATGGCGACTCTTGGATCTCCCTTCTTGTCACACAGCATACACACATACATAGGTTCCTTTCCTCGTTCCTCAGGAGTGAGTTCCACCATGTACTCTAGTCCAATCAGAGGTGAGCTGCGGTGCGCATCAAGAGTCACTTGAATCTGTGCCACACGTCGCACAACATCCTCAAAGCCGGGAGGAACGGGTTCCCCTGGTGCAAGTGCAGGCACCTCCACTGCAAAAACGTAATTTAATAGTGTTTTGGGGCAACTCACTTTCAATACTGATTATCAGAACTCAAATTTACATGCAAAAACATACCTATATATGCACATATATGTGGAATAAAAATGTTCAAAATATGTCCTAAAAATAAAATCAATGTATAAAAAAAGTGGAAGGGAAAAAAAGAAAGAAAGAACGAAAGAGGGGGGGGGGAAGGAAGGAAAAAGACAAATTTGAAATTACATAAAGAGAACAGTTAAAGAATATAGTTCCAATATTAGGGATATAATAAAATTTAATCCTTTGTTGTATGGAAACAGACTGGAAATTTTTGTGTGGCAGGCTGCGTGTTTTCCGTAATCCAGCTCTGAGATTTTGGCATTTATGAAACAGTTAGTTACAAAATTCCTGTCAACCTTCCTCACCTGCATTAGATGTATCGTGGGTGGCATACTCATTTTAATTTTTAAATGCTCCCATCCCCATCTCTATGTGTGCTAGAAGCTGCATTACATCCTCATGTTTTTTACTCTCCATGACGAAAACCAAAGAGAAGCAAGAACTTCTATCACGATCACCAAAAGACCGAAAAGAGAAGGGTATCTAAGTATGCACAAGATTGTAATTTTTCTTAAGGCAGAATGCAAGTGTCATTTGTGACAAAGGAAAGGACTAAGTCCTTTTATAGAGCAGAATACTATGTAAGCTGGGGTCATCAAATGATGTTAGAGCCCAAATGCATTCAGTGAGCTCAGCTAGTCAAATGATTAGGCTCAAAGAAGTATTTTAAGCAACCATAATTCGTCATAGGACAGATATTGGTCAAAGATATTAAACATAACAAGAATTGAGAGAGAAAAATAACAATTATAAACGGCATATTTAGAATATATTTCACATGTCAGATTATTTTGTTTACATAAAACAAATTTTAAGTACAGCATGTATTGAATTATAGCATGGCACAATGGTCAGAACGAAAAAGACCTGAGGCTAGCATGTCATCATTAGCTCTCCCTGGAATGGCATTGATACTGATATACCAATTATTATTATGATTAAGACAGCTGAAGAAGGGGTCGGATATAACAGATAGGTAGGTTTGAGAACTTCAGGGAAACCTGCCACAAAACAACTTGGTCTGGCACAAATTACAAGCAAAATGAATTCCAAACCCAGAGGTGGTAAGCTGTACTGAAACAATGATCATAGTCCCGGAACCAGATTAACACAAATTGTTATCAAGCCCTGCTGGTACGGAACGCACATTGAGATCTCCCAGCACTTACCCGGCGCACGGTCGCCATTTCCACGTGGTTCAATGCGTGTGAAGATGCTGTGTGGGTGCCCGGGCAGAGCCAACTTCACCTGATGCTTCTTACTCTGGATGTGCGTGTCCACATGCCGGGAGCCGACCACCAAGACATCGCACAGGTGGCAACGCCAGCGTTGCACCCCGGCGACATGTTTGAAGGAGAACACATACCCTTCCCCAGAGCCATCTTCTAATGGCACACGCAGAGACAGCACACGCCGCTCGAGATCACGCAGAGCCTCCACTTGCGGCTGCAAGGTAGTGGGCTGCAAACGTAATATACTGCATTAGAGCAATCCAGATGCTCAAATAAAAGAAGACTACAGACAATCAATTATCCTTCAGGGATTCACCATACACATTGATATCAATATCAATGACACACAGTTTGCTCTTATGTGGAATTTGTTTTATGGTTGATTTGAAGAAGAAAGGATTTATAGATACTTTCATATTGGAAAGATCCCTTTACCTCATATTTAAACTTAAAATATCTAACATCTCATCTACCTTATTGTTTTTGCCAAGAGCAAATATTTGTATACTAGGACTTAGTGATACTCTTGAAACCACTATAATTGACAATTTCAATGAACTATTAACATCTGGGCTTTCTCTTACTTAGAATACATTGTGAAGTAATGCCTCAAATTATGCAATTGTCAGTCTGTTGTCACAAAAATTAATTCACAACTTCAAACAACAAAGGAAAGTCACTTCATGACACTCAATTGTTATAAAGTTGTCAAAAACTTCTTGCATAAGAATGAACAGACCACATTGCTGTATTCCAAAACTATATATAACGGTGTATAACTAATGCTATGGCCCAATTCACAATGTCATTAAGAGATGTATATTCACTTACAACATTAATCTGATGCTCATCCTCATTTGATATATGACTGAATAATATACAATTCATCTTGTTGAATTATTTTATAAACACACAACTAAAATAAAGTACAGATGATTAAATAACAGATCACACAAAACTTCAAAGAATAGCTGTTATATCTTCTCAGTTACTCATTCATGTTATTGATACTTTTAAACATAATAGATTCAATCACTTTTGAGAATATGACATTTAAGGAAGAACATTCAATAATATCAACAAATGCGAGCAAAAAATACTACAAGACACTATAATACAATGACATCGAGATTTAATACTTGTATGAAGTACTACAATACCTGATATTTAAGAGACTTTAAATTCAGAACAGCTTTCTGAGGCTTGCTAAAAAATTTACATTTCATTCTGATGGAAAAACATCCAAATTTGAAACCATTACCAAACATAAGCACACTACACTCTGGCAACTTGAAACTAAATCCTAGCATATGCAATTTACTGAGCATTCTTCACTGATCTGGAATAACACATCCGTTGTCTTGTGCACACTTTTAGAAACCACTCTTGATCAGCTGGATTCTATTATTCTTCACATTGATGGCTACAAATTTACAATGCTTTTCAGATTACAGAACTCCACTGCAATATACTTCATACAAAAATGTATATTTTCTAAATAACTGTTGAAAGTGCATATGGTGTCCAAAATCTTCCATTTCAAGGAGTCTTGAACCTTGCAGCAAATTAGGTTTTCTCTTTAAATGGGCTTGATTTAATGTTTTAAAAATATATATACACCACAACACACTTTTAATAAATGAATTAATTTGAAGATGCTTAGATCTTTATCACTCATAATACGATAAACATGATAATTTCAAATTCAGATAGCAAAGGGAGCACTTAAAAATATTTATTGTGAATATTTCAATTAAAATATAAGTGTAAATATACATGTATATGTGTAATTTAAATATTCATAATAAATATAATTAATACAAATATGACACTTACAATAACTGATATAATTTAAAATTAAAATCAACAAAATTAAATGAATATTATACTGTACATTTCACGGAATGAATTGGGAAAGGTCAACAAACAGTCATTTTACAAATAATTCTGTTCCACCAACCTTGGACCTGCTATGTTAAAAATTACAGTCATTGATTAAATGACTTTATACATGCTGGTAAATAAGTAGTTGCTTGGAAATATTTGTAAATCAACCAGTGAAGTCTGATCCCCAATTTTTTGTTTTGTTTTGTCGGTTTTACTCCAAAGTTGAATGATTTTTTTCAATTAGTACAAACATAACATTCAGACATTTGTAGGAATGTTGATTAGTTCATTTTCAAAGAAATTAAAATACAAAAAGCTTGAAATAAAAGTGAGCAGATTTAGAATGAATATAGTTCTACAAAAATGTCTAAGGGATGGGCAAGCTTTCTATTCAATTAACATTCAAACTGATAATTTAGCCAATCTAGCAGTGGAGGGGCTTAGGAGAGGCATACCCAAGTCACGGAGTCAGCACGCTCACCAAGATTGAGGGATCAAATCCCTGGCAAGGAGTGGGTGTTATCAACGCATTTGTGGTCAGCAGGCATTCCCAGTTCCTTGTGCTTCGATTCTAAACCCACCCCCGTTCCAAATCCATTGGTCTTATCAGTAACTAGTGTGCTATAGTGATCTTGTGCAAGCTGAGAAACTGTTTCCCTAATCCTGTAAAAGGTACAAGCTCTTGGATGATTCCACAGGCTATCTCCAGCAATACTGTATGAACATGACCAAGATGGGCACATGGGCTAGGTTCAGGAAGCAAAGTGTGCTCTCTACTGGGAATATAAGGCCCAGGAGCACACAGGCCTTCGAAGGTCCCTTAGGGTCAATTGATTGTAGCCAAGGAGTTCTGACTATAAAAATGAAGGGATGAAGTGTACACGTATTAATGGTCTTTGGTATCTTTAGATTAAAGACAATCATATATTAAAATAGAACACATAGAAAACAAATTGTTTGAAATTACATATATTTATATTCCATTATAACATATTTTGTGACATACATAAGTGCAACAATTTGTGATGCATTTCCTCGCTTCTTCAGGTAAATTCTAATAAAAACACTCCGCAAAGCTATTAACGTTTTGCACACCATATTCATAGATTATCCATATGACAGAGTGCATGGCATTCCAGCTACCATTGCCATCCAGGCCACAACATTCTGAGACCTTAGATTTTCTGGTCTTCCAATTACAGGTGTTTTAAATAATTTGTTTATTCATTTATTCAGGATTATCTATAAAAATGGTATGTACAATGTCACTAACTTTGTATAATATATTGACAAGAATGTACCTGAAGAAGTGATGAAACAATTCACAAAGCGTACAAATATATGTAATAAAATATCTTATAATGGAATATAAATATACGTGATTTTGAACCATTTGTTTGTAAGTGTTGTATTTTAATATACGATTGTCTTTAATCTAAAGATACCAAAGACAAATAACAAGTTAAACAATCAATAAAAAAGTGTTTTAAAGTGTATACTAGTTCAACGATTTAATGATTATTCTGGGTTTATACAAAATACTATACTTTTAAATCATAACCACATTCAAACACAAAAAAGCATTTCCTCCATCAGAAAGTGATAATGAAACAGTTTCTCTAGGTGTTTCTGTATGGACAGTGAAACCTCAATGTATTTGTCTAATATTTATCACTGAACCATCAAACATTATTGTAGATCCTTTTGCCCAAAATCTAATTCATTCAGTCTCTCATACTCAATGTTTTCTTGGTAATGCATTCTCAAATAAATTATATTATTTGAATATAAAAACTTTCAAAGAACTGAATTACACATGCATAAAAGAACATCAACATTACCATGAATAAAGGATTGTAATTGTTTCATTTGTTGAAATGGTTAGTTAATAACTTCCAATTAGGGTAGTAATGAATACAACAAATTTTATTTTAATTTAAAAAGGCATAACTGTGTTTTCTTCTTCTCAAAATTTCTTCAGTTTTAAATTCTTTATCATTACTTTCACTAATACAATGCACATTTTAATAATACTGAAGTGTTATAACAGAACATGATCTTTAAGACCACAATATCTTTGGGTATGTAAATGGTGAATCAATTGCACTGCATATTTTAAATATAAACATGTGTGATATACTTCATGATAATATTGTATAAGAAATTAGCTGATTACCAAACATAACCTGGCATTTACAATTACAAAAGCATATTAAGCAAACCCATCACTCATCCTGCAACCTGTCTAGTCCTCTGATGCTGCCCACACACGTGTTAAACAAAATGCCATTTCCATGACTTGCTAATTGCATTAAAGAGTTGTTTTTTTACTCACAAATACTCAGTTTGGGGTAACATTTCACATTGCAACTCAATTTTTTTCTCTGTAGCTCAAACGTATTTTTGAAAAATTTGAGACTAATCGCTCTAGTGCATCAAGAGTTTTTGTGCAACAAAACATATATATACTCAAATTCACTTTTACATAATAGATGTCGATATTTGTTCTCACAAGTTAATATTTATGACAATTATCCATAAAAACTAAATCTTTCAAAAAATTAGCTTAGAAAGGTAGAACTTTCATATATTCATACAAGCCTTTGACACAAGACTGAATTTATGTTCAAGATAAGTAAACAGTAAATGTTAGAAAAAATCTTTCAATACAAAACACTTAATAAGACAATATGATTGTCCCTTTATTTTAAACTACAAATCAACTTTGGTACTAAGAAACATTGTCTGTTTCAAGGTCCAGGGCGGACGTGGTGTATTAAAAGAATAGAAGGCAAAAGCTTCATTTTCTCTATTGAAACTTTTTGATCATGTATATTGCAATACAACTATAAAGAAGTTAACAGAGAAAATACAGTGAAATTATTAATAACGATAACAATAAATTAAAAAAATATAACTGGCAATTCCAGGATTTTCCAGATAGCAATTTACCCTACTTCTGCATAACTTGACGACTCTCTGACTATTGGTCTCCCTTATATAAGACATGAATGTCTACCACTGCCATCCACATTAATGTTAATTTCTTAGCAAATTAATACAGATCCACAGGATTTATTTTTCACATTTTATTTAAATTAAAATCTCCCCTTGTCTCATTGCCCACAAAAATGCTTTTGGAGTCAACAGTAAAAAAGGTCACTAATATTCATAACTAGTTCCTCTGTTGCATTAACTACTCTATTATTAAAACCCAGACTAAGAGAAGAAACATATCTACAAGTGATGAATCATGCAAGAATTATAAGAAAACTTTAAAAATGCAGTTTACATTAGCAAATGCATTAATAATAATGTTAATTATACATTTCAAAATATTTTTCAATTAAGTTTTTGTACAAAACAGAAAAGCAACAATAAATAAAATCACATTTCTCTCCAACTTTCATTTAATGAACTGGAATTTGGTATTTCACAATTCAATTGAATCTTTCACTGACTAATGGCAAATGAACAGCACATTAAAGCAATTCAAAGCATTATAATTTCAAGAAAAGAACGAATCCATGTTAAATTACTGTCACCTTTGAATTTAATTAAACTTTCTTCAACACCTATTATTAAACGTACAAAATGTTTCACAAAAGATTTATTTTTGTACATTGTCCTAAAATATTGTGATTAAAATAAACTAAAAATCTGCATTTATAGGTCTCCATCACTGTATTTCTTTACAATCAAATCATTACTCTGAGTCCAAGGGTGCTAACAACTTTAAATGAAGGGGTAATTTTACTTCACATATTTTGGGAGAACATTTTAAAGCTGTGCCAATTTCCTTTATTCCAATGAGAGCTTATTTTTTATTCCTTCATTTTCATTTGGACTAGGTGTGGCCCCTATATTTCTCTTATCTTTCGCATATTGTATAGTGAATCATAAACTTTAATGAATTTATACCTGAATTCCTGACAGTCTGAAGATTAACAGAAATGTTCTGAAACTTTTAAACTCACAATAACAAAAGATATCTATTCCCGAATTGACAAGTCAAATGCTAGTTGTAGCAGAGAAAATGCATTTTTCTGACACAAACCACAAGTTTCTTGATCATATTTTGACTGAGGCACTTTCGCAATTTATTGATATCCTAATAAAGGTTCATTGACATTTTATACTTTTGGCATATACAATTCAGCTCCTTACTTCAAACAAATTTAGCTTCGCTTTATATAAAAATTGTTTTCACATCATAAGGGCATAGGGATAGAGATATTGCAAAACTAATTTGGAACAATTTAGTGCAAATAGTTTCATTATCATGCCACGATGTTTACGTCCAATGACCTGATTCACTATTTCAGAAGAGGCATCGATACTTCACAAATGGAAAGGAATGCATTTGCCAATGGAGAAGCACGGTTTAATTCAATGTAATGAAAAAATTGGACTTCATTTAAATCTAAATTAATTTCAACAAACCAAAGTCTATCATTTTTTCCTCAATCTTGTGAGCATCTCACAGGAAGATCAATTTCACTTATGACCACAAAATGTATCAATCAAGAAATGACTAAAATCATCCTTTATTTTCACATATTTAGCTATTGTTTTATTCACATCTGTTTCAGTAGTTAACATATTTACCAGTTTATTACAGTTTCCTCTCTCAATTTCTAATTCCACTTATTCACATCAATATTATGCATTAAGGTTTCACTGTCTGTAGACATGCATCAGTAAATAATATCTGTACATACGAATAGTGTATGAGTTCGGTTTAAAAATATTAAAAACATGAAATTACGAACAAAGGTGAAATAGTTATACTATATGAAGCAGAGGAAATATTCTGCACTTTGCAAATCATTATTAAAAAAAAGTTGGGAACCAACATTGGATGACCAGCCCCAAAGTACATTAAAGGTATGTCATTTCACATAGACTTCCAAGGTCCTACTTGATTCTCACACCCATGCATGCTCTGGAATAGGGATATTCAGAAGAGCCAAATTTCCAAAATTATCAAATGTCAGAACAGTCTATTTGTAGAATAGTGCTTAAAGAAACGTAACTCGGGATCCACTTCCTGCATGTTCTCCATAATTTCCTGCACATCCTCTACACTTTCTCGGCACTTGGACCTGCAATGTCCTCAGATTTTCTCTTGCATTCTCCTAGCTTATTTCCTTCAGGTTACCCTACATGTTTCTGCATGTATCTCAGACAGAGAGTGCAGTATCTCTCCAGTCTGATCAAACAGGAAGTTCTGAATAGCCAGAGTACAATCCAAAAGGATATCTTTTTGTAGATTATGACATAAAAACTTAACCAGTGTTTCTTTCAGAACCTCAAAAACATGTTTTCAAGGCCCTACGCTATAATTAAACTTCTCTACACTATAATTAAATGAACATAGGATGCTGAAGCCTTTATCTTAAATTTTGCATTCTAACTGAATCTATTATTTGTGTTTGTGTACGATACTATGATTTGATCAAGAATAAGTGGAAGTAACTTGCATTTGTTAAGGCATCTATCACAATCATCTATTAGACAAGAAAAGGAAAGAATTTGCAAAACGGAAGAAAATCTATTTCAACCTCTTGGCATGGCTATGCCATGCCAAGCCACACTCCACTCCACCCCACCAGTCTGCCATCCCTGAATTTTTCAAACTTATTTTCAATTCTCACCTTGAATCCCTCAAAGTTTCTTTATAGTGTTATCAAAATGCAATTAGTAGGACATTTTATGGTCTTTCAAAAAGTGTGTATGGTCGAAAGTGCAAATAGACAAAATTTCATTGAGGTCAGAAGAAAAAAGTTTATTTTATTCAGTATGGCTCAGTTTTATTAATTTTTTGGGATGTTACATTAATAAAATAATTTAAAACAAGTTTATAAACATGGTTAATACACAAAAGGATTGTTTTATTAAAATTATTTTAAAATATTTTATTAATGCAACCACGTTGTTGCCAATGTTCTCCTGCTTAACAGAGCTCAAGGCCACCGGTGGCCACACAGCGTCCAATGTGAATCACTGCTGTGTCCACTTGCGACCACATGACAATCAACATGTTAATAAAAACTTATACCATACTGAATACAAGTTAAATATAACCGAAAGTGAAATCTAAAACTTAGAACCGCACATTTGTTTAAAAAACAATTCAATATTATTCTTAATATGAGATGACCCCCAAAAAAGTAGTCTAAATGATTCCTGAATAGAATACTCTACCTTTCAGTTAAAGTATTGATGATATCTGTTTGGCCGATCCCTGAGGTTAACAACCCATACTGAAATGTTGCATTTTATCGATAAAATAATCTTGGAAATGGTTGCAAACTTTTCTCTAAGAATTTTTCCTACGCAAAAAGACCTACATCTCCACGATATCTACAACATGTTATCACTAACAATATGCCAACTTGCCACTTCACAACTTGTGGATGTATTTGTAATTTCCAAAGCCCCTGTGGCTTCACCTTAGAAAAATTGAACAGTTAAAACAATTAGCTATGTATTAATTTTTTTAAGTTATTGCACAAGGGTCGGATTAAATGATTTCCTTCACGTTTCCTTCAAAAATTGTGATAAGAGAATATAAAAAAAATACCTTCGGTATTTGAATTTCATAAAATGAACTTGTATTAGTAGTCGCAATGCAATAAACAGAACTAATTAGTGAAAAATAAAATGGTAAGTGTACATTTATGCAGACAAAAAGATTGTTACTTGTATTGATATTGTACACTGCAAGAAGAATTATGGATAATGTTCAATGCCATAAATGATAACTGCAAAGATGACGTGCAAGTTCAATAATTTAACAAAGGAAATTTTGAAGGCTAAAATTAACAATTCAATAAGAACAAATTATTTATCACTTTCAATCCTTTCTCAAAACAAATGGGTAATTTTAAAGTTCATAAATTTCTCCATGGAGTATCAATGTATGCGCTCATCTCAACTTCTTTATAGGTATTTTCAGTTACGTGTAAAAACTTACCCATAAAGGAATCTCCTCTTATTTCCTACAGCATATACATGCTCGGGGAAATAATTGCATAAATCACATCACCAACAACATGCACATTTGAATTTACTACAACAGTTATTATATTAACATCCCTACTGGTATGAGCTGCAGTGAAAAAATAGCTGTCCTGACAGCAAAAATTGTGAGAACACTATTTAAATGAGATATTAACTAAAATCTTCCATAGAAGATAAATAAAGATTAGGAAACCTATAACAAAATTATCCTTCATTTAAATCACACTTGAGTTGCTCCACTGTTCTTGGTGAACACTTCAGACAAAACGCAATTTTGGTCCAAATATCTTCAGGTGGTAGAGTACCAGTAAACGTTTTTTAATTTCAAATCTTTGCTCAATTTATTATTTTTCAAATGCTTTGAATCATTATGTTCTGATGTGCACCAGTATCCTGCAACGAACAAACCATAGTAAAAAATGTATACTTCCTAATGCGTCACAAATTACATTTTCTTCTCACCTGAATGAAAACAGCTCTAACAAGAAGTACACTATTTATAATATATCTTGAAATGTTACACACCTGTTTATACAGCAATTGGACTGAAGCATGTCTTCATTTCTGAATCGAAAGACGTCTTCTAAGTAAGTACCACTCTTGAATCCAATGAAGACCTCGCAACAAAAATATTCTCACAAGTATGTTGCTTTCCTCTACATGGGAAGTTGCCTCTTGGAATAAGACAATCCAAATAGGTCAGGGGTGAAACAACCATAATCTTCTTGTGCACAAAAACTTGAAGAGTGCTTCGTTGACAGTTCACTTGCCATTTAATCAATGTCAAAAGTATATTTACACTTCTCAATTAGCACTACTCCCAATACACTATTTAAAAGTATATCAGTTTTTAGCCAACAATTTTTTGCTGGTACACAGCACGCACTATTTATATTTCACCTTTACATTGAAGGCAGTCACAAGGGATAGTCATTTAATAAAACTACACTTTACAAATAAAAATATATTACAATACAATGTTGTAAATCCCACCCATTATATTTATGTTTCCCCATACAATGTTTTCATAATACATTGACAAAACCAAACACAAGTCAATTTGCAGTAATTAAATAACACACAACTCAAAAATTAAATCTGCAAATATCTGAAGATTATTTATCAAAATGTATTAATACTTCCCTGTTAGGTATTTCATACCTTAGCTTCTTCTTTATTTTTCCATTCATCTGAAGTACTTCTGCCTTCAATGTTCAAGTCATCATAATCTTCATGATTACTATTAACATTAGCATAACCCTCCATAACAGAATGCTCACTGGACTACAATCTTGTTATCCTCTTTACAACACTGAAAACAATCAATTATTATAGCATTAGGTGCACCACAACTAGGATAAATAAAACCCACTTTTCACTCCGGTTAATTTTATTAATTCATATTTTAATAAAAAATTATTAATATGTACATGTAAGTAACATGTGGTAAATTCTGCAAATGAAAAGATACATTTCACACTACCATTATGTTATATTTATTCAACAGAATAAATACCAATCAACTGGATCTGGTAAAAAGTATTTAACCACAGTCAAAACTTGTAATTAAGATGGCAAAAGCATACAAAAACAACAACATGAATCACCATCTGTATTTACCATTTCCATTCACATAGAATGACAGGCAATAAAAATATAAACAATATTTCATATTTAAATCACAATATAAATTTTCCACATGTCTGAAATAATATGAATGACATTTTTTGAGCATGATAATACAGTATAGTGTAAGGCAAATTGCAATACACTAACACTGTCACCTTCAAAATTGTTGAAATGACTCACATGCATGACAACTTACCACCATATATCAATCTCATCCTCTTCATCAGGAGTCTTCACTTCACATTTCAATGCATGGACATATCTCTACTATATAAATTCGGACAACACAGTTCAAGTCATTAATTAAAGACTGATAGAACCAGTTGTCTTTATTGATTGTACAGTTGTACCATAGCATGTTACCATGACTATGTATACAAATTAACTTAATTTTTCACAATAAAGAGCAAATAACATTAAAATAAAACCTACTACAGTGAAATCAAGGAAAACATTACACATAATGCACCAGTAGAATTCAAGGATGAATGTTTTATTTGCTTATTTACAAGGGAGGGTCACGGATTGTAAAACCAGACATTTTAAAGAAAATTGCATACAAAAAATAACGCATTTTAACAGAATCGCAGTCTACCCCCCAAAAATTTGCACTGCAATTTTTTGGCGGGCAAAAAGTGAACTGCAATTTTGGGTTGCCCTGCAGTCTTAAATACATTTCAGAAAAATACTGAATCCACATGACAATCTGCACAGTTCAGAAAATGCAGTTGATATTAAACACCTTTTCACTTACGCGTTTGAACGAACTAAGAAACGCATCGTCAATATAACGTCAAGAAACAGACCGCAAATAATCCAAGGCACGGATTTTGCGAAATAACTCGAATCAATATCACCGAACGGTCGACTTTAAACAACACTCTCATTTTTCAGTACATCGCATGCTCATCGCAATTTACCTACCTGTCTTAAAATGCAAATATTGTCAACAATGCAGAAGTACCGGGAGGACGCAACCGATAAAAACAATGGTATTCTGAGGTTAGCCGTTGAATAAGTACACATCGAACATCATTCTGTTTTCGTACATTTTCCTAATTGCAAGAACTCACCTGGAAGGCTTAAATACGTTGGATGACGTATTTTCTTCCACTGTACAACGGAGAATCACAATCAAAGGCAACTGGCCACCATTACCTGCATATGCTACATTTGTCCATGTTTGCACAAGAACATCGATTGTTGCAGCCAACGCAGCCAACTAGACAGTTGAAGTACGTTAAACTTCTACATTTTCCTTGGAATCTGCAAGTGCGTTCTCGGTGAAAGTTAAAAATCTGACGCAGCGAGGGGCATTTGAAAAAAAGGGGGGAAAATCGAATTTTAGAACAAATACATAAGAACCGAAAAGATTAACTACATCCAACACCACCTAGTATGTCTATGTATGTCACATATATGTCAAGGTGGTGTTATTAAAAAAACTGCACTACACCACATATTCATTACTTATTAATACTACACCACATATTCCAGCGTATTTCTTGACCACTACATTAGAGAGGGATCGAGGAAATGAGGCTTTCACTGCCCATTACATTATGTTTTACAAATCCTTCTTAAAAAATAATAAAAACAGTTAATACGATGTTTAAAAAACATGTGATATATATTTGGATAAGTACTAAAAGATGTAATTTATATTTTCAAATTTTAAAAAAAACAAACATATTTCCATAAAAATACTCTTATTATCTATTAGCCCCTCCTCCACGATATATTTGGGAAACGAGTACCACATAATAGAAAAAAATCCAATTCATGCAATTTCCTTCAAGAGCAGGGAATGTTTGTTTACTTGCCGGAAGCACGTTGTACTAGAGCTTGCTTGGTAGAATTGAAAAAAAAAAGTTTTATACAAACATTATAGGAAATTTTATTGTCTTTAAAATTAATTTGAGTCATTTCCCCACAGATTTAAGAATAAAGAGTAATAGGGAAAAACAAAAAAACAATCAAAAAAATACCGGTTTTTCGGGTCTCCCAGAGTTAGCACGTCTGGAAGGCCGAAAATTTGGAGGGTTTAACTTGTGCCTGGTACATACACCATACCGAAAGAAATAGTTAGCTATGTAACAAGTATTTAAATAATAATAGAAAACGGGTTACTTACGACATGTTTGTTATTTCTAATTATTTTTTTAATTTACATTTTCCCACGTAAAATGCGTTTGCCCACTGGACTAATAAAGCTATTTTCACATTTAAAACAATATTTTACAAAGTGCGGAATATTAACACGAGTCCAGCAGCATTAATTCATTTTGCAAATTAAAAACGCTTAAAATATGTTTGGTTAATGTTTCTTTAATATCCAGTGGGGTAGCAAGAGTAGACAAAATAGACACCGACAATCATTCTAATCGAAGAAAAATATATGGAAAAAAGTAGTAATAGACTATTTCATATTCGCAATGAAGATAAATAAATTGATGTCATCAACAATAATAAAACAAAAACGATTTATTTCATAAAATATATAAAACATTGGAACAAAAACCCAAACTAGTTTCCTGGAAATTTCACTGTTTTCCGTAGTTCTGCACATAAAATTAAAAAAGCATACAAAATTTAAAAAACAAACAAATACAATTAAAAAATTAAAGCAAATAATAAAAAAAACTACTAAGATATTACATGTAATCCTATTTCTAGTATGTACAATATTTGAAAAACCGGCAATGATCTCAATACTGATTTTATCCCACAATGGAGAAAAGTGCCAATGTCTTGATGGTACTATAAATTTAGTTGAAGACTTCAATAATAAGAGTTCTCAATGGTGCTTTAAACACACAATGTCACTGGACTGCGACTGACTACAAGACTTAACTAACACCGTCCCTCAACTCTAATTGAGAGCCCTCGCTCGGGATCCAACGCATCTTGAAAAACAATCTTGAATCTCGCAAGTACATTCTTGATATTGATCTTCATTCCCCCTACTTCACTTCGTAATACCTAAGTAAAACCTCTCCGATCACATTACCAAAATATGACGCATTTGACCTCTCAGACCATTATCACTTTCAAATCCCTACAACTCAACAATTCATCTAACTCTCCACTAGGGGCGTTTTTCAGGGTAGGCAAGGGGGGCAAAAAGTGCCCCCGAGGGCCTTGTGGGTTTGCGCGGTGATACCCCACGCTAGTGGCGTAACATAATAATAATAATAATAATAATAATAATAATAATAATAATAATAATAATAATAATAATAATATTTATTAAGTCACATATACAATTACAATCGTGCATGACGAGTTAATATAACGAAATGATTATTGTAGTAGTGTGGAAGTGATTATAACGAAATGAGTGTGGGCCCGCCCGCAAAACTTTTACCCGGGCCCTCTTTATAAAGTGTATATCACACACAAGTAGTGCTTGGGTCTTTAATAAAAAAGTAGTAAGTATGTAACAAAGCAGGGCGGCCCTTGGCGTAGAGGTCAGACTGCTGCCCTTCCACTGCTGGTGCCTGGGTTCGATCCCAGGCGGTGGCCCCAAGTGGGATTTGTGGCGGACAAAGTTGGACCGCGGCAGATTTGCTCGGGGTACTCCCGTTTCCCCTATATGCAGTCCACCGGATCGCTCCGTCGTTCATTCCCTACTGTATCCCGTCATCAACCACAATTTCGCTAAAGATCTACGGATCACAGTGGCGCCTAGGCAATGACCTAAGAATTAGCTGAGAAGGGGAACGGCTACCTCAGCGGGTTAACGACATATAGATATCTAGAGAGGGGAAATGGTGAGGAAGTGGGGGACGCCCCCTAAACTAGACCCTAAATATCGCTTGTCGAGAGAGTGGATGTAATACCAGGGTACAGCTTGAAGCGGGACTCTAAGGGGAAAAAGATAGTCTAGTTTAGTATAGTTTGTCACAAGTAGTGTTTGTACCTTAAGTATTAAATATACCCCCTAAAACAGGCCATTTTCTAACGGGGCCGCTGCGTTACACCACTGCCCAAGCGGGTCGGCCGCCTTCGGGTCCGATCCGAGTACGCCATCGTTTGTAAAGTTAGTATAAGTTTAGGTTTAATATCTAGGATAGCGCCCCCACCGAATAACTAAACAAAAAAGATAAATAAATGTCTTTATATACCGAACTTTCATAGCAAGCCATCTTTCTGGCATATACTCCTAAGGGAGTTATGTGTCTAGCTTTTAACAGAGAGAATAAGGCATCACAGTACGTGGAGCCCCGAACTTGTGCCATGCTGTGTTACAATTGTCACTGTGACTTCATACAAGGGGTTCCTGTTGACGACAAAGAAGGGGAAGAGCCATTTGTTCCCATGAACCCTCGATCTACTAAGAAAGGAAAATTATTGCAGATTGAACCAAAATAAAAAAAAGATCAGCCAGAGCCACCCCACAGAGATGGTGATGGTTTTGCCCGATTCCAATGAGAAATAGTTTACAGAACAAAATCTGAAAGTATGTATTTTCCATAACAGATTATTTCGAAAAACATTAGAGGTCATGAACATAAATAGAACCTTTATTAAGAATTACGGAAATCATTACGGAGGCCGGGTACGAATTGGAGTTAGTATATCATGACCCACGGCAAAGCATAAAATATAATTTTATTTCCTACGACGCAAGGCAGAACAGTTGATTTGTAACCGTCACAGCGCCCGAGCGTTGCGTTGATAAGATCACGCCACCGGATGCAGCCCTCGGATTTCCCAGAAACACACGTGCGAGCCTCGCTCCCTCCGCCCATTAGCAGTTCGCAACGGACGGAACCCTCCAGAACGTTCTATCGCGAAATTCAAATGGGTAATTGTGATTGGCCTCTGCCATCACCTCCACCTGAGCGCACGAAAACTGGCGATCTAGCAATGCTCCCGTCGTTTAACTCCCAACCTTCTCGCGAGTATAGGTTTGATCTTTGTCCTGGTTTGGACGCGGTTATCAAGTATTGTATAGTTAAAACGTTCCCTCTCAAGTTTGGGCATGCATTCGATATGACACTGTCTTGGAGAAGTTTGATTTATTTGTCCAAAATAACGTTCCAGCAATAATTTCGGCCGATATTTAACCATCGCAGGGGCAGAATTTGCAGTGAAGACACGCTTGATACTTGTGTGAGCGGCGGGTTGCGTTCAGGGGCGATTGAGTCAGCATAAATGTTTAAAAGCATCAGCAACGCCCCCATGTGGTGTATATGTATGGCAGATACGCACATTCTCATTCTACAATAACTGCATTCTTCGTAGAAGTGCAAGCAATAAGATGACACTATTTTATGGCAATCGGCTAAACAGGAACAGGCAGCGCATAAAAAAAACGTTAATTTTTACTTTCCGCTATACGTACGTATATACGGTGTAATATACGTAGTATAGGGAAAGTTATGCAATGCTGCGGAAAATAGATTTGGAGACTTCAATGAAAACACACGTATTGGAGTCCTCTGATACCGAAAAAGTTTATTTCTTTTTCGAAACGTCCGTCCGTATGTCAGTTGGTCTGTCTGTCAGGTGTATGTGAACAACATTAGCGCCTAAACCACCCGTAATATTTTTTTCCAAATTGAAGAAACTCTCCTCCATTTCGCCTGAGTCGAAGCACTGTGATTTTGAAAACCATTCACTAGTTTTTGGGGGTACTTTACATGAAGCCTCTGGGAAATTTACAAAATTTTCTCGAAAACGGCTCCAATTTGTTTCTTTAAATTTCTTGAAAGAATAGAGTAAAATGCGTCATAGGTCCGATTTTCACGTTTAACTAAATTTTCGAAAAATTCAAAACTTTAATTTTTTTCGGGGTTTTCCTACAACCACAAAATCAAAGATTTTTCCTTCAAATGAAATTTGATGCCAATAATTTGTTCTTTTATTAAGGTCATGTACATTTTTTTTAAAAAATAGTAGTTTTGGCGCAATATTGCTTGAATTTTTTTAAAAATTACAAAAATAAGGTTTTCTTAAAAACTGCTCCAAATTTTTTCTTCAAACTTTTGCTAGCGATTGTGCTAAATGAACTCTATGAAATGAGATAAACGCATATTGCCCTATTCTTTGTTTTTTCAAAAATTACAAAAATGTATTATTTCACTTGTCTCTTACGTCGTTAATATTTACATTAGCGGCAATTTGTTCACATTATTTTTTTGTGGGTACATGTGCTTTAAATAATGTCATAAAATATCTCGAATACTCTACCATTTTCTGTAAAAACTTAATCAAAATTCCGCACTTTCAGAAATACTCAAACGCTATTTTCTC